TCAATTGGTATTCTATTGTTTAATCACAATTAATTTTTTTTAGTTAATCACGTGAGTTAACTGCGATTAATCGACAGACCTAATCAGTAATAATATATAACCACCCTTTTCTGAGAGCAACAATAGAGGCATGGGATAACAAAAATTAAGCCCAGACCCATCACCTCTAATGTCCATAGTACATAACACCAAATTCAACCCTAATAAAACTCTGGGAAACTTTAAAACCTGGTATTGTAGTTGTATTACAAGAGTTAGGCAACTACTCAGAGACGTTACATTCAGATAATATGAAGAAAAAAATCAGCTTGCAAGAAATACAAAAGTTCCATTGTACTGTACCAATAGCTGCAATTGCAACATTTTTCAACACATCATCTTAAAGGTAAATCTGAGAAAAAAATTAACAGTGAAAAATTACTTGTCACTATTATGAAGCACAATGATCTACTTTCCACCTTATAAAATTATTTTCAGTTTTTGCTTAGAGAAAACACACTTTTCATGAAGAGGTGGAATGCAGATTTGTGCAAGGGAATTAAGGATGAGGATTGGGAGAGAATTTTGAACAGCAGTCCCTATACTTCAATATAGACATTCATAAAAGAAAACTATGTTAAAGTCATCTATGGTACAGGCATGGGCAAATGCTGAAATGAGTGTTCTGAAGTGGGCTGGTTTCTTCACATATGGTGGATCTGTCCAAATATTCAGACACTTTGAAAAAGAGGTTGGAAACTCCTTTAAGGAGATGACAGGTGTTTTTGTGAATTTTCCCCAAAAGTTCTGTGTTGTATGACAGACACAAAGAAACGATTACCCATTTGATAGTTGCAGCAAGAATCATAATTGTAAGGTGGTGGAAGAGATGTGACTCCTCTAAATCAATTGACTCGTCCCAAAAAGTATGGGAAATACGAGTATTAGAAAAGCTGACCCATCAAGTCAAAGTTCTACAGGGAAGAAGATAAAAACTTGGTGGAATTTCCCTGTAGAGAATCGTTCCCCACCATGAAACCTGAGAGATTGAGAACTTTTTATTTTTAATATTGAGGAAGGGAGAAATTGTTAAACTTCCACCTTACTAGTTTGCCACTGCCCTATTGTTACAGACTCATGAAGGCCAGGCTATGTGTTGGAACTGTTGTGTACACAAAACCTATTCTCGATAGAATTGTAAAGTTAGTGCTACAGAAATATTTCTGATAAAATTTATTGGCTCTGTTGCTTAAAACCCTGCTTCCACTTCCACAAATGATCTTTAGAAAAGAACTTGTCATAAAAATTGCTGTTCATCATCCATCTGGGTGTTTATGTGGCCCCCATCACCATCTGTTCATTAATGGTTGTGAAGTTATCCTCACATCCCTGTGAGGGAGGAAAGTATTGTCCCTATTTTACAAACAAGGAACTGAGGCAGAGTTAGTGACTTGCTCAAACTCACACAGGGAGCCAGTACCAAAGCCATGAACTGAACTCAGACCCACCCACATCCCAGGCCTTAATCCCAGGACCATTCTTCCATCAGAGATGCATACTGTATAGCTTCCGCCCACCTATTTGTGTATATCATTATTTAAACTTGATAGTAGATATGCCAGTTCATTAAAGTGCCTATTGTTCCCACAAGAAACTAATTTGCATTAGTAAGATAAATGGATAATTCCAATGTTTTGCCGGAATTCCAGTGCAATTTAATATTATTGTAAAAAATCCTAAATTGGCCTTTTAAAAATATTTTATTGAGCATTAAAAGTAAAACCATAATTCTGAAATAATACAGAGGGTGGCATTTTGGCATGAAGTGACAGTAAGTTGTAAGGAAATTCTTGGGCCTTCAGTTCAATGAACAGGAAAAGCAGTTGATTTGGAAGGCTGATGATACTAGGTGAGATTCAGTGTGTATTGCATTTTTTCCTTTAAGCATAGCTCTAACATGAAATGTGCTTCCTTTTTCTGCAGATGTTTTCTAGGATTTTTAAATAGAGTATAATGCAGAGAGTTAATAGTTTCTATGTAGCATCTGAGGCTAAAGCAACTGCAGGTGTTAACTGGGTGACAGGTGCATAAAAATACACAGCACAAAATTTGCAGTAAAGACAAATTAAGACAAGTTGTTAGAACAATATACTAGGGGCTAATCCAAAGCCCATTGAAGTCAATGGAAAGACTCCAATTGACTTCAATGGGCTTTGGATCAAGCTCTAAGGCTGGGAAGAAATCAATGTGTTGAAACTTACCTGAAAACACCTTTCAAAGTGCCCATTCATTGAAGTACAGAGTGAGATTCCTCTGCTGCTTCTGTCAATTCCTGCCAAAATGGTAGTTGTGACACTGCACCCCATATTCTTCGTGGTGATATTATTATTATATGATTATAGCATAATTATGATGTATCTTATGCAAGATAAGTCATGTGAGGTGTAATTGGAAAGATTATGATTTGCTGAATATGATTATCTTATTTGTATGCATGTATCATTTTTGTATCTGAAGCTATAAATATGACTATATATCGGTACTTCAAATGTAGTTACACCTGGGTAACGCCCACCACAGAAGATGCTTTCAGTCGAGATAGTGGGTGGGGAAGGGCCTATTCAGGGTAATGGGCCATCAGGAAAAACAACAGGCCTTAGGAGAATCTTTTCTCCCAGCTGGGGAGCCTTCCTGAGAACACTCCAAACAGCCTGTACGTAATGGCTGCTATGACTCTACAAGGACATGTGACCAGGTCACATGATTCTGGACTCCATCTTGGGATGTCAGTATTTTCCCACAAACCGGTCTGGGAACCAAATTTCGAAACAAAGGGTTCCCGCTGTATGCTAAAGCTATATAAGACAGGGAGTGACATCATCTGGGGTTCTTCACTCCCCACACAAGAAGACTCCTGGAAACACCTGAGGAGCAAAGACTGAACTGGGGGAAGTGCAGGACCCAGGATAAAGGGATTTCTAGCCTGTGAATGGAACACTTGGGGATTCCAAGCTGTAAAGCAAGTGCAGCTTGCCCCTTAAAAATCTGCAGCCTGCTTGTATCATCTCTTAGGGTGAGAATCTGCTAATTCATATCCAATCTATTTAGTATATTAAGCTTAGTTTGCGTTTTTTGTTTATTTGCTAGGTAATCTACTTTGATCTGTTTGCTATCACTTATAATCACTTAAAATCTGTCTTTTGTAGTTAATAAATGTATTTTATTTTTAATCCAAACCAGTGAGCTTTGACTGGAGTACTTGGGGAAAATCTCTGCTTGGTTACCATTGTTCTCTTCACATTGAGGGAGAGGCGGACTTGGTATTAAACCCAAATACTGGCCAGATTTGACCAGGGCAGGACAGTACTGCTCTGGGGTCCTAGGCTGGGAAGCTGGTGGTTAGAGACACTGCCTGTAACTGCAGCTAAGTGAGTCCCTACCTGTGTGAATGCTGGTGAAAGTGCAGGCTGGAGGGCTTTGCATCTTGTCACAGCAGCACAGTGTGAGAGGGAGCCCAGGCTGATGGGTCAGAGGGCTCAGTGGTACCCCAGTTCCACATGGCACCCTGGGGGGAACCCATCACAGTAGTGTTCATAGCAAAAGGTTAAAACTATTGACTATCTTTGGATATATTAGAACTGCAATAGGTATTTCTCAAAAAAAAATTGCTACATGAGGATTTTAAATTTTTAAAAGAAGATATTTATGCACCTGAGCAGGGCTTAATTAAAAAAATCAGTGACTTTTCCATTAAAAACATTTTTCTTAAAAACTTCTCTTAAGAGGAGTCTGCTTGTTGGTGCCCTGAATAGGTAGCAACTTTATAAAGTGTCTAGGCTTGCAAGTTTTTGCCCAATGACTGGCAGTGTACGGTGAGATTACAACATGAACTTTCTGATAAGTTTCCTATTCTTTTGCTGCTTCCAAGATATTGATCCATGGTTCACCTGTTGCCTTTAGATCCAACCATATGCGAGACTGAATTTTGTAAACCCTGCCCTTGAGGCCAGCAGAGGCTAAGATGTCACTGCTCAATGGAAAGGCCTTTTATTTAAAGCTTGGAGGCTCAATGCCTTTGACATTCTGGGGTTCACCTAGGCCAGTAAGGGGTTCAGTCATTGTCTGCCTTGTAGCCCTGGGTGTCTTGTGACTGTGCAGCTTTGGTTCAGAGCTCTCACCTTAACAGCCTGCCAGCAGGCCACAAGTCTCACCCTGGCTTTGCCCAACTTGGATACTCCTTGCAAGCTGACCTTAGTACCCTTCCAGGCCTGAATTCCACCCCAAAATCATCCTTCTGCAGGATCCGGTTCCTCTCATTAGACCCTCTCAGAAAAAGCATTAGGTTCGCTGCCTCTACAGAGACAGTAGAACATTCCAACTTGCCAGCTTAACACAATCACACACTTTACTGAATTTTACCAGCACTGCTGATTTATAATGACAGCAAAACACATTTATTAACAAAAGAGGATGGATTAAGTGATGCCAAGTAAAAGGAATAAAGGTAGAGATGGTTGAAAGCAAATAAAAGTGAACACGTTCATCTAGAAGTCTAAAACTTAATCTAGCAAGATACACTCTTTGTTCAAGACAGTTTCTCTCTCCTCCACTGTCTTCTTTCCAGATTTTTCCTGGCTGGCCTGACCAGGACCCATCACAGAGATCAAATTGAGCTGTGCAGTCACAAGACATACAGGTTTACAAAGCAGGCATTGACTGAACCCCTGACTGGCTTGAGTGAACCCCAAAATGTCACAACCCCCAACTCTTTTAACCTTTAAAATAAATCACAACTATCAGTGACCTTGGCAGAGACAGCCGACCATGGATGGGGACAAAGATGTGTCACGGCCATCTTCCTATTGCCTTCTTTCCCTAAAAATAATAATGACAATACAAAGGTTAATATAAATGGCTGAAATACCCTGCAAATACTTAGGTTAAATGGTCAAAGTAAACATTATGGGTGATTTTTTGAAACCTATATTAATAATTAAAACACTATGGGCTTATGCTTTCAGAGTACGAAATAGAGAGATCATTTTTTCTCCGGATGAAGTGTGTCTTGGCCAAGAGGAATGCAGGCTTGACATGTAGCGGCTACAAGGTAATGTTCTGAAGCCTTTCCATGTTCAAAGAGTAACAGGTTTTATTATATGGGTAGCTGTAAAACAAAGTCTACTACTGAAAAGAGTCAGAATACCACCGCTGGGTGCAGATTTTGTTATTAATGCAACAGTACACCCTGAAGCTATGGGCCAGATTTTGATACCCATGCTCATGCTGACTAGTACCTAACTCCACAGGTAATCCCATTGATTTGAATGAGATTATTCCCTGTACTGTTCAGCATGAGTAAGGGTATCAGAATATGGCCCCATGTGCCTGTATATCTCAGTTCAGGATTGATGTCTACCACAGTCTCAGGTTTATTTATCAACCTCTTAGCATATATTGTTTTAATAGTTACTGCACTTGAGCATGGGTGATGGTAAATACTGTAATCCTACATTAGCACCTGCCATTCAAGCATATATTTTCAGCTTTACTTTTTGCATTTATTCTCCCATAAACTAAACAACATATTTCTACTATCTAAGCAGCAGCTAAGAAAGGCACCTTACACACAGTTTTACTGAAAATAAATGACTTATTCAACAGCAAGAGGAAGAACACCTCAGAGTGACTTGCTATTCTTTTAGAATTCTTCCAAGGTGCAGACATTTACCTACCCTTTTAAACTTGAACAATTATTCCTGAAAGTGTAGTCCTGCAATGTACATTGTTCTAATCCATAATTTATATTGAAACAATTTAAAAAAAAAATGAGTAGGTGGTGACATCCCTCTGTTTCTTCTTAGATTACAATTTGTCAGCAAGCGGAGTCACGTGCCATTTTCTCCCTTGAAGCCCTATTGCCTGATTCCAGTGTATGTTGTTTAAAGATGTGATTTTCTAGAGCGCTCAGCATTGCCCTAACTCTGCTCTCATCAGTCAATGACTTCAAGGTTAGGCCAGTGCTGAGCACTTCAGAAAGTACCACCTGAATAGCCTAAGTGCAAGGGAAACCAAATATGCCTAATTGTGAGGGAACGAGGAGGCTCTGATGGGAGATTTTAAGTAAGTTATCACTGGGTTATTATTGACTACCATATTAATTAATGATTGAACGGGGAGCCTTAAGAGGAATCTATTTTTAGATATATAGATAATGGATTGCCAAGGATTGCTTAAGGCAGTGGACACACTCTCCTTTTTACTGGAAGAACGTACAAGTCAAAACAAAGGAAATATACAAATAAACTGAGGGATATATAGAATGTGGTTTTGATACTTGTGGAGTTTCCCACATGATATTTGGGACTGAGCCTTGTAAGAGTGTGCATAGCCAAATAGTAGCCGTTAGAAATTAAGAATATTTATGTTCCTCAAAAGAGTTTCTAAGAGCATTTTGCATTTACCTTTGTTGCCCCAAATCATTATTTATCCCTTCTTACAGCCTAATAGCTAAATTTTAGCATCAGATATACACATGCAACTCTCATGGACGGAAACTGGAATTATGTAAATGTAAGTCAGGCTAGAATTTGGCCCCTAGACATTGTCATTGTTAATTTGTCAACAGGGATCAATTAATCCTGACTGGAAAGAAGCAACACTTTTAATGTGTCTAAATATATATTCAATTATTTATAATTAGGGCTACATTCATAAGTCTCTTAAAATGTATCTGTTTTTCATCATAATGAAGAACAAATTCAATAGAAGTAGTTTTGATACATCAAACTGGCTGTTAAAGTATAGCTAGGAATAAGTATGGCTGTTCCATGATTAAGTCACCATCAAAGGCAAATTTCAGTTTATTTGGTTAATGCACAATAACTATCTTATTGTATCTACATTAAATGTATGTTAGATAACCTTAATTTAAAGCATTAACTGGAGAGCAGTCCATATGGCACCAGGGCTCTTGCATTTTAATACCAGATTACTATGTGCTGGCGACAGTAACACAGGTACACAGCATCACTGCATCTCTACTTACAAATAAGACTTAACAAACTATGCAGCCAGACAAATGGTGTTAAGAGAAATTGTTTGTATCACCATTGAAATAGATGCAGCAGAGGCTGAGAAATAGATGTTCTCAAGATGCTCTCTTGACCTGTAAGACCTCTTCCTTTACCTTCAAATATCTACTATGCTTTCTTTCCATGCCAGGTGATCCACTGCAGTGGCTATTTGAAGATACGTCAGTATATGCTGGACATGTCCTTGTATGATTCCTGTTACCAAATTGTAGGACTGGTGGCTGTGGGTCAATCTTTACCTCCCAGTGCAATCACTGAGATCAAGCTTCACAGTAACATGTTCATGTTCAGAGCAAGTCTGGACTTAAAACTTATATTCCTAGATTCCAGGTAAGCAAAATGATTTGGTTTCCATCATATAGCATCTGGAAGTTAAGTTTTGTCAAATTATAGGGGTTTCTAAATACTTCAATATACTTAAGTTTTAGGTGTATTTTAACTATGACATCATTAAAATTGAACTTGAGCACTGTAAATGTATGTAGGACTTTCAAAATGACTCAGTAAATAAGGCAATATTTTATCTTTAAAATATCAAGCCTACGGAACCTGATTCTAATCTATAGTTATTTGTGTTATGGTAGTGTCCAGAGGCCTCATTAGGCAGTGTATAAACACAGTAAAACACTTCATGTCCTGAAGAGTTTACCATGTTAACAGGCAGGACAGATAAAAGGTGGGAGAAAGGAAGCATTATTGTGCCTGTTTTACAGGTAGAGAACTGAGTCACAGAGAGCTTAGGTGACTTGACTGAGGTAACAAAGGAAATCCATGGGAACCCAGTCTCCCAAGTCCTAGTTCAGTGCCTTAGCTGTGAGACCAGCTTACCTATCTAATGTCTCTAACCTTGCCTACATTATGGGTTTATGAAAAGATACGAGTGACAGTTAAGTCAAATGGCCATTTAAAAAAAAACCAGACATTAAATCTCTTCAGAAAAATAGTAACTATTGGGACAGCTTGCAAGATTGCCTAGTGCACAAGCTCTGCCTGGATTTATGTGAAATAGGCAATAGAACCATCTCAGCACACTCTACCGATACAACCCATGTGGATGCCTGAAAGAACTCCCACATGGGCAATGGAAAAGCACAAATCTGAGCTCAAAGAGACACATGAAGTGACTAATGGATCTCTTTTCAACATATAATTATGCCTTACAATATACTTTGATGATCTATATGGTCCAGTTTTAGATGTCCCAAGGGAAGAACCTTCCAGCAAATTTCCAGTCTTCTAGGTTTGACTACCAACAGGCAGATAATTCTAACTCACGCCTGCCCCACCTCCCAAAAAAAACCAACCACCCCACAGTACTAGGACTGTGGAACAAGATTTGACCTACTTGGTGTCTTCCGTGACATGCTGGAGTTTCAAGGAAAAGAAATGATATTCATACATAATGGTAAAAAAGTCTATGACCAATACATTGGAGAAGTTTTGCAGGGCAATTTAAACACTCAAAAGCATGCTGTCTCTCCAGGCTAAGATCAACGAGGCCCAGTGCTAAAATGCAAGTTACAATGTATTTTAGGAATCCTCTCTCTTTTTTTGGCATGTTTAATGCAATACATCCAATATTGCTAAGCACTGAAAGCTGGTCTACGCTATCAAGTTAAATTGGGTTAACTATAGTTGCTCAAGGTTGTGAATTATTTCGCATTATGTGCGATCTAGTTAAGCAACCTAAGCCCCGGTATGGACACTGTTAGGTTGCCAGAAGAAGTCTTACATTGACCTAGCTACCACCTCTCGGAGAGATGGAAGAACCCCTTCTATCACGGTAGTAAGTGTCTATACTACAGTGGTGCAACTGCAGTGCTGAAGCTGTGCTGCTGTAGCATTTCTAGTGTAGATACAACCTAAGGCTCAACAATATGCCTGTACATGGCAGAGCTAAGATAGGATGAGGAAGAGGTGTTCTAATGGGACCTCAAGAGGCCTTCTAGTCTAGTCCCCTGCACTCATGGCAGGACTAAGTATTTTGTAGACCCATCCCTGACAGGTATTTGTCTAACCTGATCTTAAAAATCTCCAATGACAGAGATTCCACAACCTCCCCGGGCAATTTATTCCACTGCTTAACTACCCTGACAGTTAGGAAGTTTTTCCTAATGGCCAACCTAAACTGCCTTTGCTGCAATTTAAGCCCATTGCTTCTTGTCCTATCCTAAGAGATTAAGGAGAACAATGTTTCACCCTCCTCCCTGTAACAACCTTTTATGTACTTGAAAACTGTTGTCCCCCTGCAGTCTTCTCTTCTCCAGACTAAACCCAATTTTTTCAATCTCCCCTCATAAATCATGTTTTCTAGACTTCTAATAATTTTTGTTGCTCTCCTCTGGCTTTTCTCCAGTTTGTCCACATCTTTCCTGAAACATGGCACCAAGAACTGGCCACAGTACTTAAGTTGAGGCCTAATCAGCGCAGATAAAGCGGAAGAATTCTCATCCTGTGATTCTGTGATTTTAAGTGGAGTTGCCTGGAGGCATAAGAGTCTTCATAAGAGAGAGTCTATCCAGAGGCGCTGATAGGAGCACAGTGAACAAAAGCTCCTGTTACACCATTGAAAAAGATACTGCCAGCAGTGTCCCCATACTTGCCAGGAAGCACAAAGGTGGGGTCCTGCCCCTGTCCCACAAAGATGAACTTCTGGAATATCAAGCAGTGTCGGTAGTGCTGGCCAGTGCCTTTCCCCTAGCACTGCCAGCCCAGCTGTCCAAATTATCATTACCTCCTGACAGGAAGGTACTCTCTCTGACTCCCACCTGTAGTGTACCCACACAGAAAGGGCATAATCATGCCCTAAATGGTATTAGGAGAAGACAACTAAATATATCAGCTTTAAGGAGAAATAGTTTTGATAGTTTAGTTTAAGAGTTAATTCCAGCCCACAAAAGTGATCTGTGGCTGCTGCTTTACTGTATGCATCCATTCATTCCCACAATTTCAAGGGACACTGGAGGGGAGATGAGATAATTTTGGCCAGCTCTGTTCCCCTTTCTGTTTTCCTTGTTCACACACTCAGAGTCCCTTTTACATCCCAAGATGGAAACCAGGGATATTTGGAGTAGAAATAGACAAGGCTGCAAAACTCAGATCCAGAATCAAACTTTTCCAAATTCTGAGTGTGTTCAGATCAGGGGTTTGTTTGACCATTCTAGGGGTAGCTGCAAAACTAGGGATACAGATCCAACATCTGGAGATATTCAGCTCCAGGATTTTGATTTGAGTTCATCTTTGATCATTAGTTAAGCAAGAAAGCCACATGAAATCACTCTCTTCATTTTAATGGCACTGAGAGCTGAGTGACTGATGTAAATGAGATCTAAACAGGGCACCTCTCACAGTTACAGGGTGAACTGTGCCTTAGACCCCTTTTAATCACTCTCCGGTGCACCCCTTACGTGATAGGCCCGGCTTCGTACACCTCACCCTGGGTGGAACCTTGTGGTCTAACCACTCTTAGGCCTTGGCTACACTTAAGAATTCACAGCGCTGCCGTGGCAGTGCTGTGAAGCGCGAGTGTAGTCGCGCCGCCAGCGCTGCCACTCTCGCAGCGCTGCAAGTACTCCACCTCTCCGAGGGGAATAGCTTGCAGCGCTGCGAGCGAGCGTACAGCGCTGCAGGTGCTGATTACACTGGCGCTTTACAGCGCTGCGCTCGGGGGGGGCGTTTTCACACCCCTGAGCGCAGCAAGTTGCAGCGCTGTACAGCGCCAGTGTAGCCAAGGCCTTAGATGGATCTCGGGGGCTGTTTCTCAACTGTGTTAATGTGACAGGCCGAACTGAGTTTGGCACCTCTCAGCCCTTTCACTGCTGGAACCTGTGACCAGAGAGTAGATTAAAATGACTCAGATGGGGCCTTCAGAACATAAGAAAGGCCATACTAGGTCAGACCAATGGTCTGTCTAGCCCAGTATCCTGTCTACCAACAGTGGCCAGTTGGAGGTTTAAGAACACCCAGAACAGGGCAGTTTCAAATGATCCATCCCCTGTTATCAAGTCCCAGCTCCTGACAGTTGGAGGTTTAGGAACACCCAGAGCATGGAGTTGTGTCCCTGACCATCAGCTAAGAGCCATTGATGGACCTATCCTCCATGAACTTATCTAATTCTTTGTTGAATCCAATTATCATTTTGGCCTTTACAGTATCTCATGGCAACAAGTTCAACAGGTTGATTGTGCGTTGTGTGACGAAGTTCTTCCTTTTGTTTGTTTTAAACCTGCTGCTGCTTAATTTCATCAGGTGATTTCTATATGAAGGGGTTATGTGAAGGAGTAAATAACATTTCCCTAATTTGCTTTCTCCAGACCATTTGTGATTTTATAGACTTCACCATTCATGATTTTATTGACCATTATTATATCCTTCCTTAGCCATCTCTTGTCTAACTGAACAGTCCCAGTCTTTTTAATCTCCCCTTGTATGGAAGCTGTTCCATATCCCTAATCATTTTTATTGCCCTACTATCTCTTCTTTGAGATGGGTGACCTGAATTGCACACAGTATTCAGAGTGTGGGCGTACCATGGAAGTATATAATGGCATTATGATATTTTCTGTTTTATTATCTATCCCTTTCCTAATGGCTCCTAACATAGTGATAGCTTTATTTAACTGCCACTGCACATTGAGTAGGTGTTTTCAGAGAACCATCCACAAGGACTCGAAGGTCTCTTTCTTGAGCGATAACATATAATTTAACCCCCATCAAGTTGTATGGATAGTTGGGATTAATCGGCATTATTTATGCATTTCCCCAAAAGTACAAAGCCCATAGAGCAGGGGTGGCCAACCTGTGGCTCTGGACCCACATGCAGCTCTTCAGAAGTTAATATGCGGCTCCTTGTATAGGCACTGAAGGGGCTGGAGCTACAGGTACCAACTTTCCAATATGCCGGGGGGTGCTCACTGCTCTGCCCCAGGCCCTGCCCCCACTCCACCCCTTCCCAACCACTCCTCTGAACCTGCCATGCCCTCGCTCCTCCCCCCCGAGCCTCCTGCACGCCACAAAACAGCTGATTGGGAGGTGGGGGGAGGGAGAGGGAAGTGCTGATTGGTGGGGCTGCTAATGGGCAGGAGGTGCTGGCAGGGGGAAGCTGCTGATGTATTACTGTGGCTCTTTGGCAATGTACATTGGTAAATTCTGGCTCCTTCTCAGGCTCAGGTTAGCCACCCCTGCCATAGAGCAAAGGATAAAACCAATTAAAGTCCTATACCTCTGGGTCTGGTACATCTTAATTTTTCCTTGCCAGCTTTTGTTATTCCCCCTCAGCCCAGCTAACAACCCAGCTCTTACTGAGAGAAACAAACTGTTCTGATCACAGTAGGCTCTCCCTGTCTCTTTTTTCCTTGCCAACCTGTCAGCTTTCACAGATACCCTAGGCAGCCACCTGGCCACGCGATCAACCCCCATCCTTTTCTAGGCCCAGGGTCGTCTAATGCAGTGGTTCTGAACCAGGAGTATGTGTACCACTGGGGGTATGCAGAAGTCTTCCAGGTGGAACATCAACTCATCTAGATATTTGCCTAGTTTTACAACAGGCTATGTGAAAAACACTAGAAAAGTCAGTACAAACTAAAATTTCATACAGGCAATGGCTTGTTTATACTGCTCTGTATACTATACACTGAAAGGTAAGTACAATGTTTATTTTATAATTATATGGTAAAAATGAGAAAGTAAGCATTTTTTCAGTAATTGTGTGCTGTGACACTTTTGTATTCTTATGACTGATTTTGTAAGTACATAGTTTTTAAGTGAAGTGAAACTTGGGAGTATGTAAGACAAATCAGACTCCTGAAAGGGGTACAGTAGTCTAGAAAGTTGAGAGCCACTGCTTTAACGTCTTGTGCCTGGTCCACACTAACCCCCCACTTCGAACTAAGATACGCAACTTCAGCTACATGAATAACGTAGCTGAAGTCGAAGTACCTTAGTTTGAACTTACCGCGGGTCCAGACGCGGCAGGCAGGCTCCCCCGTCCACTCTGCGTACTCCTCTCGCGGAGCAGGAGTACCGGCGTCGACGGCGAGCACTTCCGGGATTGATCCGGGATCGATTTATCGCGTCTAGACAAGATGCGATAAATTGATCCCAGAAGATCAATTGCTTACCGCCGGACCCGGAGGTAAGTATACACGTACCCTTAGTGTTCCCTTTGACCTCTCTCTCCTCAGCCTTGCAAAACAGCTATCGAATCAGCGCTGCTGAGTAGTCCCCTCTTCCTAACTATAAACCTGGGCATTGTGTTTGTTGGGATGCTCCTTATGCAGGCCATTGGTTTACCTTTCCTGCTTGGTTTCCTTAACAAACCCTTTTGATCTAACTCCATAGCAAGTAACCCATCAAACAATCACACACAGGTATGCACCATATTCATGAAAAATAAACCAATGTTTCCCACTTGGTCATAGCACCACTGCGCACAAGGCAGAATTTGGGTCCTGAGTTTTGTGACCCAGGAGAGAATGGGAGTGCTGTGAAGGTCACATCCAACTCCTCACCCTGCTCCCACCCCAACACACACCTCGCAGGGGCAGGAAGCTCTTCATTTTACCCTCAAATGACCTCCACCTCATGTTGGTGTACAAAACATCACCGACCGCCCCTAAGGAAAATGCATCTAAATCCTTCCCAGATGAAGGAAAGGTTGCCATGTTGGGGGATCTTTAGGGAAGGATTAATGTGTGTGTAGGGGAAGGGTCGCTAGAGGAGCCTTCTTTCCTCCTCCCCCTTTCTCCCCCCCCCCCACACCTTTTCCCACCAACTGATGTGTCAGGATAAAAGTAAATATAAAGACCTGCTTCTCTGCAGGGCCAAGCAATGCATGAAGCTCTAAGGAAAGAGAAAACAAAAGGCATGATAATCAAAAAGTGGAGTTCAGGTTATTTGCAAGACCCAATTACACTGTGCAACACTTCTTGTATTCATTTTACAGGATTGCTATGTTATCCTGAAACTGAGTGCAGTACCTCTGCTCTGCCATTAGAGATGGAGAAAGAGCATGGGAGTGTAAATGCCATCAACACATAGATAAACAAACAAAGCTAACTGATTAAATTCCTTGATGTAATTTAGAGTATCTTTTGCTATCAAGTAGCAAGGACAGGAAAGACCACTTGGGTCATGTAGTTTGATCCCTATTGTATTGCGTGGGACTATTCCTATAAGGGCCTACTACAGAGTTTCTTGCACCTTCCTTGAAGTGGCTGATACTGGTCGCTGTCACCATACTGGACTAGATAGATCTCAGCTTTGATTCCCTATGGCAATTCTTATGTATTCACTACCTCATTCCCAGTCTATCTGCAGTGATCATGCTTTAATTTCGTTCCACTCAGTTCCCATCCTATTGCTCTTAATGTTAAGAAACTTTTGCATCATGTCTAACTGAAGCTTTCCTTTTCCTTCTTTAGCTTCCAGGCACTGCTATTGTTCCTTGTCCTTCCATCTCCAAAACGGAATAATCCTGCGCCTTCCTTTAGGCAGTTAGCTCAAATTTATTTATAGACTGTGAGAACGGCTACTGTAGACTAATTATTCTTGCTATGCGCATATATCTGCAAAGGCATAAAATTTATCAATAGTTTAAAAAAAAAAGGGGGGGGGGAACTTTACACTTCCATGAACAGCTCATCAACTGGATCTTTGTGCAAAGGATCACATGTTAGTAGCTCCAAAGTAAAAATCTAATGCTGAAATAAGTTAACAGATCCTCCTCCTTGACTGTATCTGGGACACTTCTTTGTGTACAACATTACTGCACCCTGTATTTGGCGGGCGTACTGAAGTTTTAATTTCTTGTAAAGATCATTGTTCTCTGTTTCCAAACCAACATGATTTCTCTGCAGCCTTTTAGCACTTGATTAGTTCACAAAATCAATATTAGTTTAATGAAATTAAATATTTCTAGAGATGCTGCTTATCCGTCAGCCTTCCTCTTCCAGGGTGACTGATTTAACTGGATACGAGCCCCAAGACTTGATAGAGAAGACCCTCTACCACCATGTCCATGGCTGCGATGTCTTCCATTTACGATATGCTCACCATCTCTGTAAGTAATTGGCATAAAGTGATTGGCTCAAAATCTTCAGCTTATTCAGTAAGGTCAGGAGTTCTGCAGACAACAGACACTGTGGTGCAAGGAAAACAACCCCCAAAAGGGGCAGATCTCAAGTGCTCAGCACCCATAATTGAGACCAGATTTTCAAAAGTACTCAGCTCCCATTCAGGTAGCAATTAAATGGTCTGATTTTCAAATGAGCTCATCACCCAACATGCTATGTTCTTCTCAAAATATATTTGGCTACTTATTTTGCTGCCCAAATGGGAGCAGAGCTGTTTTGAAAATCTGTCCCTGATTGTGAGTGCTGAATTCTTTTGAAAAATCTGTCTCTTAATGGTGTTAGTTTGAAAAAAAAAAAAAAGTTATGCAACAGTTCCATGTTTTTTTCCCAAGCACACTGGTAATAATCAGTGTGTGTTTGAAAAGTTGGATGTAAAACAAAAAAATTCTGAGATGCATGTTCCTTAGTAGTATGTGGATGAGTTCTGAAAGCAGAGTGTCAGGAGAAAAAAAAGATACATGATTAGTAATTCCCCATTGCCAAAAGGGGAATTGATCGCCTCTTCATACATTTGGATTTAGTTTATTCACTGAAATATTCGCACAGTAGCTTTATTTATTCATTTATTTTTCCAGAAGCAAATTGGGGGAATAGAAAATGTTTCTGATTGGCTCAGACTTCCACAGCCCAACTCTCACCACATCCACTAATTACGTAAACAAACAACCCCCCAAAAAAGACAAAAGAAACCAAAACCTTTGCTAATGAATTGGTTTCCAGATTGCCACCATTGGCTTAAAACAACCAGAAAGAAACCATCCTTAACCCTCTCTGAAGAAGAGTCAATCCCTTATGTTACTGTGTGATGTTAATGAAGATCTGGAATATATATAAGAATTATATAGGAAGATGACCTTCCTGTACTTAGAACAAGTCAATGGTGAATGACTAAATATCAAATTCTATTGACTCCAATGGGAGTTACGCACAGGAACGCAGAAATTGACCCTAAATATTTTGGCATTTGCCAAAGAATTAGTGGAAGCTCAGACCTGCTAAATCACATTATTTCCTACTGGCTCTTATTTTTAGTCTCCTCTTTTATGAAAGTTCAAAACCTGCTTATATCCTTAGTTCCCTCCTGTGGCATCTGACTGCTCACCTGCACATGCCAATGCTCATTTTTCCCCTCTGATATTATTTGATATAATTATGTCAAACAGTATAAAGAATTCTGATAAAGCCATGATCATCTTCTGAAAAACAGTATCTCACCTTTACAACACGGTCATGAACATCAGAACCCATAGCATCAGAACTCGTGCTGGCAATGGAAGGCAATAGCTGATACTTTGGTCCAGTTTTGTAAATAGGATTTGAGTGGAATTCTAAAATACGGAGATATGACTAAGCTACTTAGTTAAAAATACTGATCTGGATGCTATAACTGAACTATAAAGATAAAGAATTACAAAGTTTAGAAACAGAAGAAATATAAGAGAGACAGATCTAATTTAAAAGGTCTAATGAGTTAAGGTAACCAAGGGCCAAGAAGAGGGAGAAAAAGTCAAAATACTTGGGGAACAATAGGAAGAGTAAAAAAGCATGGCATGAATGATGAAAACAGATGTAAAATGTACAAACTTCTGTGCCTCCAGAGAGCACTGTTATAACTCCCCCACCAAACATCTGACGAGTATGAACAGTAAAAGGTTGACAGGTCTGAATGTACACAATTTAGCATTCTATGAAACAGTCTGATGATTAAGTGTCACCTGATGTTAATCTGGAGAGAAAAATCTTACACCTGATTAGAGAATTAAAAAAACAAAACCCTATACTGTGATAAGCAATTGCGCTTCCAAAATAAACTCAAACTATAAGACAAGCATTAGAGAGAGCCATGAACGAAACAACAAAACTAAAAGTATAATGGGTGTAATAAGAACAGCAAGAGTAGTAGATGTGAGTAGTTTGCTGAAGATGTGCTGATATAAAAATAGTTTCCTGTTAGCTTCCAGGTTGAAGAAAAAAATGTTGACATTTCAGAGGGTTTACTTATTTCTATAATGCCATCGGTGTGCAGGGAATTACTGTAGAACAGAGGAAGTTTGCCACTCAGCTAATGGGTCCCTGCCTAAGGAGCTGATAGTCTACAAAACAGGACAAGTGAAGCCATTACAATGCAAACAAAATACTCCTAGCCTCAGCTGTGTCTTTTCTCATGAGCCTGCTTCCTTTGTAGGGAGGGTTCAATGCACCAAAGATGTTATAATCCCATTGTTTCTGCTGCACAAATTGCTGCCAGTTTGTCCAGGAACTGGCTCCATATGTCAGGGCAGACAAAGTACAAGCCCCAGCTGCTCCCTGGAACGGAACCTCACAGGCACAATGCCCAGTATAATGGAGGAGGTGCAAGTTAAATTCTGCACCACTTTGAGCCTGTCATCTCCCAGTGTAATGCTCAAGACCAGGGCCGGCTCCAGGGTTTTGGCCGCCCCAAGCAGCCAAAAAAGCCGCAATCGCGATCTAAAAAAAGTCGCGATCGCGATCTGCGGCTGCAATTCGGCTGGAGGTCCTTCACTCCCAGGCGGAGTGAGGGACGGTCCGCCGAATTGCCGCCGAATACCTGGAACTGCCGCCCCTGTCCGGAACGGCCGCCCCAAGCACCTGCTTGAGAAGCTGGTGCCTGGAGCCGGCCCTGCTCAAGACTTTCAGCAAAGCACCACTGGTCTTTCAGGCAGCTAGGGAACTTTAAAGGGCTGCTATTCTGTCAGGGCACCATCCACTCATGCAGTTGTAGGGAATCCAGTGGATTGGCAAGTGGTGTGATCTGGGGAAGCTTAGCCAATTACTGTTGCAAGTGTAGGATTGAAAGGCCAATTTCCCTGCAAAGTTGTGGCCTTGAGCACAGGCTGGTGAATGATGCATTCCAGTGAAACCTATGGAGCCTTTTAAAATAGCCATTTATGACAGATCAAATCGGCCAGCCAATCTTTTCAGCCTGCACGCTCAACCAGGCAGGGAACCACAACAGAGAAACAGCCATTCACAAATGGTAGAGGAAAGCTGTAAATCGAACAGCCAAGAGTAAAAAGCTGCTAAATTCTATCCAACTGATTGCAATGAGGGTCACTTGGGCCTGCACAAGTTGGCTTGGTAATAGACACTTCTGTCCCAGAAAGACATGGCTGAGGTCTCTCAGTCAGCAGCTCACAGGGCAATTTAATGCAGGGTCAACTGTGAACTGATCTAACATTCTGTATTAGAATTGTGGCCAAAGACTGCCAAAGACTTTCCTCAAAGACTGCCAAAGACTGCCAAAAAGAAGAACACAGGAGACACACTGCTCATATATACTTGGGAAGTGAAGCTGGAGTACTATATTTAGTCCTCAATTCTTTTGCAACCTTTAAAACATTGTCTTAACAGAGGACCTAAAACAGGAATTAGGAAAATGAGAAGGCAACTGACAAGGGTGGAGCCCAGAACAACTCCTGGCGCACAAAGAAGAATGCTGCTGTGGATACATAGAACAGAAGGTGCTCTACTAGTGTTAATTTATGCTTTGGAAGATTAAGTAGCTAGATAATTTGAATTCAGTATAAGAGAAACCTGAGAATTAGACTAAGGGTATGACTGCACTTTGAGCTGGGAATGTTATTCCCAGCTTGAGGAGACATATCTGTGCTAGCTCTGATCAAGCTAGTGCACTAAATATAGTGTAGCTGCAATGATGAGAGTGGCAGGAAGGGCTAGACACCTTGAGTACGTGCTTAGTGACTGTGATGGACATGTACTCGGTGTGGCTAGCCCCTCCTGTTTCTGTGGTTACATTTTATTTTTAGCATGTTAGCTTGATGAGAGTTAGCATGAATATCTCTCCTCGAGCTGAGACTCACTCCCCCAGCTGGAAGTGTAGACATCCCCTGAGGTAGAGGAAGTTGCTTTTGGAAAACTTAGAGCCCATTGAAAAGCTCCCTCTCTCAGAAGATCAAAGCCAAAATGAGAGTGCCATGTGTGAGGCTTTGGGTTCTTTAGAGTACAGGTAAACATGAAAGCATGATGCACAGAGATTTAACTGGACAACTCTGATTAGTAACATCACAGATGTAGACTAGCATTAATCCGAGGTTATGACACTAAATCCTAAAACAGCAAAATGAAGATGGGCTCTTTTGTTTTGTCCAAGACCCTAACCTCTGAATTAATGTAGAGGCGGTCAAAAAAGCAAACAGGATGTTAGGAATCATTAAAAAGGGGATAGAGAATAAGACTGAGAATATATTATTGCCCTTATATAAATCGATGGTACGCCCTCATCTCGAATACTGCGTACAGATGTGGTCTCCTCATCTCAAAAAAGATATACTGGCACTAGAAAAGGTTCAGAAAAGGGCAACTAAAATGATTAAGGGTTTGGAACTGGTCCCATAGGAGAGATTAAAGAGGCTAGGACTCTTCAGCTTCTAAAAGAGGAGACTAAGGCCTGGTCCACACTAACCCCCCACTTCGCACTAAGGTACGCAAATTCAGCTACGTTAATAACGTAGCTGAATTTGAAGTACCTTAGTTCGAACTTACCGCGGGTCCAGACGCGGCAGGCAGGCTCCCCCGTCGATGCTGCATACTCCTCTCGCCGAGCTGGAGTACCGGCGTCGACGGCGAGCACTTCCGGGATCGATCCCAGAAGATAGACTGCTTACGGCCAGACCAGGAAGTAAGTGTAGACCTGCCCAAAGGGGGGATATGATAGAGGTATATAAAATCATGAGTGATGTGGAGAAAGTGGATAAGGAAAAGTTATTTACTTATTCCCATAATACAAGAACTAGGGGTCATCAAATGAAATTAATAGGCAGCAGGTTTAAAAAAAAAAAAGGAAGTTCTTCTTCACGCAGCGCACAGTCAACTTGTGGAATTCCTTACCTGAGGAGGTTGTGAAGGCTAGGACTATAACAGAGTTTAAAAGAGAACTTGATAAATTCATGGTGGTTAAGTCCATTAATGGCTATTAGCCAGGACTGGTAAGGAATGGTGTCCCTAGCCTCTGTCTGTCAGAGGGTGGAGATGGATGGCAGGAGAGAGATCACTTGACCATTGCCTGTTAGGTTCACTCCCTCTGGGGCCCCTGGCATTGGCCACTGTCGGTAGACAGGATACTGGGCTAGATGGACCTTTGGTCTGACCCGGTACGGCCTTTCTTATGTTCTTAATGTACTGAGCTTATGGTTAATATATGTTTTAGAGAAATAGGATAACCAAACATGGTATAAAAGAAGCCAGATGACTAAAAAGGGACTCTGAGGTAAAAGAAGCGAACAGCTTGGCATCTACCATGATGGATTCCTGGTTGCCCTCTCAAAGGATGCTGCAGTTTATCTTGGTATCTTCAGAATGAACATGGACTGTGTCTATTAGTGGAGGAGGAGCTGACTCCATAGCCAGAAAGTTCTTGCAAGAGTAATTTTTGAGGGTATTTCCTGAGGAACTCCAGCAAGATAGATTGGATTTGAAGAAAAGTTTAATGAGTTACCACCTGTGTAGATGGAAATGAGAGGAATCTAATGTGAGATGATCCGCATAATGTAGATACTAGCATTCTGAAACTTCAGGGGGGTAGTACCAAGAACAAATGTTCTAATCCGTCCATGACTCATTTAACCCAAAGTTTTAGCTCAAGTATAGTATGTCAGTCTCTCTAACCAGGTATTTACAACATGCACATCACTATGGCATCCGACCACTGTCAGAATTACAAAAACATAATTAGTCCAAATACTGAAAACCATGTCATTAACTACCAAATGGTAAATAAAAGTATTATTGGGTGCTCTTCTATTCCACCCCTTCTACTGGACGCATCTCCATCAAAATAACCCCCTGTGAATACAAGTAATCAGATGAGCTCAGAAGTTTTATTTCAAGTGGTCATTTTCTTCACTACCACTGGCTTAAAGCAGAAAATTATTGCTTGTCTGGCCCACTTATTGGCCTGATCCTGCATTGAAAATAAGCCTAGTTCCATCTGGGAGCTTTACCATCCAGTTCAATGGAATGCAGAATCAGGCCATTTGAGAGTAAGAGAGAATCTCTATTTCTTCATAGTGTGTCATACACACCTACTGAGAGCTGCTGCTATTGGCTAAATGGGAGCATTTGAACCTTTCATACAGCCTTTTTTCTCTCAACGTAAAACAAATCTGGTTGTGTGGAAAAGGAGCAAGGTGGAGCTTCCCAATAAGGTCTTCAGGGTCATGCAAAAATGTTCCAGAGCTGGAGTTATGGCTTTGTTGTGACGCATTAGTTAAATCTCTGGCACTGAACCAGAGAGATCTGGGGAGAGGGAGCCAGACTAAACATTTGGAGATTGTCCCCAGCTCTAATTTTAGCATACCTCTTCACAGAGTTACCAAGCAGGGTGTTTAGAGGATTTGCACCTCCAGTAAAAACTCTCCAGTAACTGATTCGCTTCCTGTGACTGCTCTTTATTTGTATGTTTAAGAGAAGAACCAAAGAACTGTATTTTAAATTTGTCATGTTAAAAAAAATAAGCCCAGTCTTCAAAATACAAAGTTTACTTTCCAGAGGGGAAAAACAAAAGCAGCCAAAAATACATTACAAATGCTCAATCATGTTTCAATCAATCAATTGCAAATACTTTGGTAAAATTAAAATAAAAGCAGTTCTCTCTCTGTTTCCAAATATTTTTGGATGCTTCTACTTATCAAACCTTTTTTAAAAAAGCAGTCCAAAGGTGGGGGTGGTTATTGCACTTCCATAAATAACGACTTTGTTATGGTATGAGTGCAGAATAAATTGGGGAATGAAGGGCAGATGCAGGTAAATAGTCTGTAATAAGATATTTGTACACATTTATGCAAAACCCAGAGAAACTATATAAAGGAGTGTGGTCTTTGCAGGGAAGTTCAGAGTTTATAGGGGGCAAGTTTCCTCTTTACAAATAAATCACTGTAGGAGCTGGTCACAAGCTCAAGCAATGTGAAATACTCTTTGCATTATGTTCACAGTGTTGGTGAAAGGCCAAGTCACAACCAAGTACTATCGACTACTGTCCAAGCATGGAGGCTGGGTTTGGGTACAGAGCTATGCTACCATCGTGCATAACAGCCGTTCATCTCGGCCTCACTGCATAGTGAGTGTCAATTATGTCCTTACGTAAGTCAAAATATTTTGTACCATTAAAAGACATTTATCAGTACTTGATGGATTACTAATCCAATCCTTTATCCAATCTTATAGTATTAATCTCCTCTGGTATCATCTTGTATATATACAATCTACAGCAATTTATCTTTCCCCACCAGCTCCCTCTTACACTTACAGTAAGTGACAGTATAAATGGCATATTGGGTAAAATGAGTGTGTATCCACTCTGATTATATTTACACACTATTACCTTGCATTCTGAAGGATTCCAAAGATTTTGTGGTGAACCTGTTACATTACTGGTAATTATTTGGGTTACAGTGGAGCCCAGAGGCTGTACTTGAGATCAGAGCCCCTGTATGCTAGGCAAAGTTTCTGACCTGATGAGTTTACAGTCTAACTAGACAAGACAGACAAAGGGTGGGAGAAAGGAAGTATTATGCCCATTTTAGAGGCAGGAAACTGAGGCACAGAGAAATTAAGTCACTTGCCTGAGGTCGCACAGCTAGTTAGGGCTCAACTCTTTTCTTGTATTTTCAAGTAACTGCCACAAAGCCTGTGCACATCTGTGGGCAGAATTTAGTTCTATGTCATTTTCTCAGACAGAAATGACTCCTAGCTACAGAAGAGAGGGAAAAGGTTTTGTCTAGTTATTCTTTCACCTGTCTGCTGTAAAACTTACTGAAAACACTGTCATTCCCTGTGAAGTTCAATCTTTATCCTGTATGCTTTCATATTGCTGATTTTCAGCTCTCCTGCTACACCCTCTCACTTCCCTCCACTGAAATTTTTGGTAAGTCCAAAAGGAATGGATTTTTTAAAAATCAGAGCTGCAGCAATAAATGGAAAAACAAACCAACACACCAAACAACACTGAAGCCCCACAGCTTAGTCTTAAATATCCTTATTTTTTTGTACACAGTTATCTATAAAAAAAATTTGTCTAAAAAAATCTGCAGTATCGATTGAACAGATAAATCTGAGAAAAGATAGACATCACCATGAAATTAAACCCTACTGGCTGATTCTGTGGTGTGGTTGTCGCATATCATACTGGCAGAAGAATGACCTGGGTTCCCTTTCCTCTGTGTCAATATTCAAATGTGTCAGGGAAAAGACGAACTCATGCTTGAGGAAGGTTGGAGGGCACTGATCTGATCTTTGCCCTGCTGTTAGATCACCCCACACCAGCATTGTTTGTGGTCCCCAAGGCAAAGTGCCACAAGGATGGCTTTAAAAAAAAAAAAAAGTTAAGAGAGCTTAAGTTCAGACTTTAGGGATGTTTAATACAAAGTTTGTAACCCTGTTCCTGATGGAAGTTTGCAATCCATTTCCATGGGAATAGGTTCAGGCCTTATGATTTATCTCCCTCTCTCACGTTCCCCACCCACCACTGCAGACCAAATGAATATCTTGGATGGATAGTAATGAAAACATTGTGAAACTAAACCATTTTAAAATATTATATGTTTCATCTGTGCAGTGCATTAAAGTATTTAACCTATCACAATGATTCTTTTGCAGAGATATTGAGTACAAGGAACTTCAATTATCACTGGACCAGGTTACCATTTCTAAGTCACAGTTTTCATGCAGAAACTCAATGTCTACCTCACAAGAAACAAGGAGAGTAGCAAAACCCAAAAGTAATAAAATGAAGGCAAAACTCAGAATGACTCCTTACCCGCAACAGGTAACTCTTTCTGTAATACCCAACTACAAGTAAACAGGGCGTTTGTGGGAGTAGCTTGGTCATCATGAGATTAATTTGCTGCTAGTATAATGCTGCCAAAAAACTCCCTTGACATTCAAAGTTAACACCAGCCTTGTCCTTTCTTGGGGGCACGAGAATGCCATCTCATGTAAATGACACAGAAGAAATGGAGAAGGCACAGCATGTGGCAAGAAGAGGCTTAAGGATTATCAGGTTATCGGTCAGAACTCAAAAGCTTTTGGATTTTAGGTATTCAGATTAGTTAGAAAAACTAAGTTTTTTTTTTTTTTTAAGCAAAAAGAGAACAATGTAACACAGAGAGCAGATGCTGTAAGTTTAATTTGAGCTGGTGTAAAAATATACCAATTTTTGCTAACCAAGGTCTGGCTCCAAATGAATGCTGGCAACTTCCTCAGGCAACAGAAGGTAGCCTAGTGGATAGGATGCTGACCTGGGATTTAAGAGACCTGGGATCAATCCCTGCCCTGCTGGGTCACCTTAGGCAAGTCACTTCGCCTCTCAGTGCTTCAGTTTCCCAATCTGTAAAATGAGGGATAAGAATATTGATCTTCTTTGTAAAAGCACTTTGAGATCTACAGATGATAAAAGCTGGATATTATTATTGATCAGGAATGGGGGAAAACTAGCATACGTACTTTATTGAACACAGTGGGAGCCAGTCAAACATTTGGAGGAAGTGTGTGTTGTGGTGTTTAACTGACTCATAGAGGTTAGATCTGGACTTGCCACCATTCCAAAGCTTCCCATATTAATAAATAAATCTTTTTAACATAAGCAAATGACACTCATGTGTCATTTAACCAAGACTTCCTGTTCTTCAAAACAGGTTTATATCCTCTGATGTCTACGTACAACGATTGACCAAAAACTTTAACTATCCAAAATTATTCCTTAACATTAGGATGACTGCGGTTGTGCTGAAATTATTGTTCTGTTACATCAGAATAGTGTTTTGCTACTGTCTTTATTCAGTGACCTAACAATACTGTATGATATTTACATAGCAGCTCACATCCTGAAGGATCGCCAAAGAGTTGCAAACCTGCCTTTGAAATGCAGCCATCTCTTGGATGGAGTGCAGCATTTGGTTTACAATATTCCTCACACCATGTCCTTAAATGTCTCCAGTTAAAAACACAGGGGAAATTTTAGATAGGCACAATTATCCAAATAAGATTTCTGACTGAACACTAGGATTAATGCCCCAACTCTGGTGAAAAGTCACATGGGATTTTTAATGAAAAGTGGTCAGCAGCCTTGTTTTTACATCATAGCCACTAATACAGGTCCTTTATGGGGGACATTTACTCACTATTGACTTACAGGGAAGAATGCCATCTACTGAGTCACCGACACCATTTCCCCATGCAACTTCCCAGTCCAAGTTTTGATCTGCCCCAATCCTACTTACTTTATGAGATTTAATGAGGTGACAGTTCCATGTGGCATGGCTGGAGGCAACTACACTGGTGTGTAACATGGATACATTTGAACACTTTTCTTTATTTTTCAGCAATACAGCTCATTCCAAACAGACAAACTGGAATGTGGCCAGGTTGGAAGCTGGAGATCCAGCCCTACAGTGAATGCTGGCACCATCCAAGAACAGAACTTCCATTCAGAAAACAGTGAACTTTTATATGCCCCCTCATATAGTTTGCCATTCTCTTACCATTATGGACACTTCCCTGTAGATTCTCATGTCTTCAGTAGCAAAAAACAAATGCTGACTTCTAAATTTGGGCAGTCTCAAGGATCACCTTGTGAAGTGGCTCGTTTTTTCTTGAGTACGTTGCAGACAAGTGGAGAGCGCCAATGGCATTATGCCAACTCTTTAGTACCTACCAGCCAGTCGCCGTCTAAAAATCTTCCCGATCAACCAATAAATATTGCATGTCATAATCTTGCACAGAGTTATGAAGGTGAGTGTTATCTTAAAAATAATAAGCTGCATAGCATTTGGAAGATGTTTTTAACGTGTACTTTAAAAATATGAAATACAGTATGTTTACTGAACACAGACAAAATATATCTTTGGGTTTAACATGCAGTATGTTTAGAAGGTATACTGTCATGACATTTAGACCTACTTTTTTTTCGTTTGAGCATTTGAATAGGAATGTTATCCAGTTTCAGAACGTTGATTTTTTTTTTTAATGAAAGCCTTTAGTGCAGGGGTTCTCAAACTGGGGGTCGGGACCCCTCAGGGGGTCGCGAGGTTATTACATGGGGACTCATGGAGCTGTCAGCCTCCACCCCAAACCCCGCTTTGCCTCCAGCATTTATAATGGTGTTAAATATATAAACAAGTGTTTTTAATTTATAAGGGGAGGCCGCACTCAGAGGCTTGCTGTGTGAAAGGGGTCACCAGTACAAAAGTTTGAGAACCACTGCTTTAGTGGGAAAATTTTCACAAAAGCCAAGACTTGGCCTCCCTTTACAGGCACAACTCACATGAGTGTTTATGCAAAGTTAGTTTGCAGGTGCAGAAATGTGGGTTCAAATTGTGCCAGCATATCAGAAAGAAGTGGAAGTACTCAGATCTGCACCTACAAGTCAACTGTAGAAACCAAAATACAGGCATGATTGTACCCATACAAAAGGGAAGCCATCCTTTTAAAAATGTACCTATATTTAAAGTATTTGCCTCACTAGCTATGTTAATGATAGTAAATGTAAGCATTTTTAGGATTGAAGTCAATGGGAAATTGTCTTGATTACTAATGTTCTTCAGGCAATGTCTTCACTGATGGGAGTTGCACCATCTTTCCACACAGCTGGGGGCAGCTCAAATGCTTTGAAAGGAACACAGGGGATGTTGGCCTCTCCCGCCAGACAACTCACAAGAAGTGTACTTCCAAGGCTTTAGGAAATGTTAAATGAAAAAAATAAAATAAAATAAGTTGAAAATTCAGTCCTATCCTTGTGTGAAATAGGTTTTAAATATTTCTCTGCTCAGTGTTTAACTGCATACACCACTCTCAAAAGAAAAAACCCCAGCCGTAATGGGAGCCTGCAGTAAGATGGATAAACTGAAAACCACCAGTTAGGACTGATTAGCAGAGACATTACTGGGAGAAAGGAAGTTTTCCATTCTTCTATGGAATATCTCCTCTAATGGAAAACAGTGAAGAAAAAAAGATAGGGAAAGACAGGTAGGATCAAAAGCTTTAGCGATCCCAGAGACATCACGGGATTATTCACTTGGGACTCACTGTGCACCCAGCTCCTGAAGGAGGTGCTTGAAGATTGATCTTCACTGTCATGCACCACGTCTCTGGTTCTGAAATGGGTTTTATAGCATAAGACAGAAAATGTGGGATATCTCCTGAAGAAAGAAATGTTTTGAAGAAAGTTTGGGAATTGGGCACTACATGAAAAATGCTTTTGGAAAATGAAGCCATTCTGGGACTCATTTATCGCTAGTGAAATTGCACCATTTAGGAATAAAATGGGAAAAACGTCCCTGTAAGCTCAGGCCTGGTTAGAGATCACTCATGTGTCTCATAGAAAAAGTTGATGGGAGTTAGGAGTGGAGCCTCCCTGAGGGCACTGTGGATTTTATTTCTACCCCGTTTCAGAATTTGCCTCCTCCATAGCCAGAATCAGACATGTTGCTATTGGCAAACAGGAGGCATGGATCCTTGGAAGGGATCCCTTCCTTAGATTTGAATGGAATGGGAAGGAAAGGAGTGTCTGATCTTGTTCACACTATCTGCTACTTTTTTCCATTGCTTCACTTGACTGGTGAGAACGAGTCAACTTTTAAGCCGAGAGGATCTGCTTAGAATCATTAACTGCAGTTCAAAGGAAAACCAAATACGATATTTGGCAACAGGGTTTGAGACCATGGCTGTTACAGCAAAGCACATTACTTCCATAGCGGCATCTACCAAAAAGGGCGTGGACTGAAGATGTGTTTTCCAGTATGAATTCTATTTTTTAGATTCATCAGACCAAGCCATCAAAGCTCTGGAAAAGTATGTAGCACAAAAAGCTGTCTGCAAATCAGATGACACTGTCTCAGAATCTTGTCTTCAGGCTTCTTCAACTTTCCTGCTGACTGGGAAAGAAGAAGAAATCCCTTCAGAGAACATAACTGTCTCTTCAGCCAGGGAGGATCTCTCTGCAATATTTGATACAGAAGGAGCCAACTGGGACAGAACATTTCAGCCCTGACCAGATTCTATTATCCACTCCACTGAACTCAAGTAGCCTGAAAAATATCAAGAGGCACAACCTGTGAAACAGATCTATGCCCTTCCACATACATCTCATTCTCAACTGATGCAATCACTGATACTACTGAAATGTCAAGAATGCCTAGAGCAATTAAGCTCTCGGATGAAGAGCAGATGGCTCAAGCTGAACCCAGGGGAAAGGCGTTGAAGAATTGGCCAAGATATTGTCTAGGTCTTCCATTGAAGGCAAACAGCCCCCCCTTAGTCAAAATAGTGTGAAACATCGAGGTCCTGTTTAACTCCTTGCTAACTTGGATGACCAGGTAGTATCCATTTCCAAAGCTGCTTTCTTTCACTTCCAGCTTGTGAGGAAACTTCATCCCTTCCTCCTGGATGGGGACCTGGCCACAGTATCCATGCATTTGTCACCACCAGGCCATATTACTGTAACTCATTGCTTCTGAAGTTTAATGCGAAGATGATGCACAGGCTCCGGCTGGTACAGAATGTGGCTGCTTACCTTTCCCATGGTTCAGGCCATGATGAGCACCTCAGACCTGTGCTCAAGTCCCTTCTCTGGCTCCCAGTTGGCTTCCAATGCCACCTTAAGGTCTTGCTCCTAATTTTCAAGCCAATTAATAGATTAAGCCCCAGTTACATCAAAGATCTAATTTCAATCTATGAACCACCATGACAGCTGTGCTCCTCTGGGACAAAACCCTCTCGGAGGGATCTGTCTACGGAACAGTTTTCCAGAGGAGATCAAGTAAATCCAGGTTCTGACCATCTTTCGGAAAAGTTGCAGCACTGTCCTGTCATAGGGAGGACTGGGCTCTTTAAGAGGGAACTGGTCCAGCTCACCTATGCCTCATAACAACCTCTTGATGGAGCCTGATAGAGTGCAGGTGTTCCTGCTCTCTATAAAGAGTCAGAAGGGAACAGGGCATGGAAGAAGCAGCTGTGGCAGAGAAGAGAAGAACTCTAGTGATAAGGAGACCCCTGAGTGGGAGAAGGGTTTGGGCCAAAGCCAGAAGGCTGAGCTCCAGCTGGGAAGGGAAGCTTTGTGAAGAGGAGACTGGGACAGAAGAGCTCTGGATGTGGTAGAAGACACTAGGGCTGAGTATGAACTTTTGTGATGATAGACTTTATTTTTGGCTCTTGAGGATTGTTTTGAATTGCTTTGGTTATTAAACCAGCCACAGGCAGGGACGGGGTTAGTCACAAGGAAGTCTGTGTGGAGTTCTTAAGAGGCTCAGATGAAAGGAAAAAGAGTCAGGGCACCACAGAGCCGCGCCTGCACATTCTTTGTGAGAAAGCCTTTCCACCATAAGTGATGCTCAGTTTGATCACCTCTGTTATTACCAAATCTCTCCCACCCTTCTCTGTTCTGTCAAAACAACCCCAGCTCCAAGCAGAGTTTTGGCTTCATAAAGGGAGAAGTACCAAAGACTTCCATGAAGTCCACTATGAACTTTGCTATTCATTTTACACAGAAGGTTCTTGGACATTATAGTGATGGGCAGCAGTATGAAAATGACAGATACCTAAAATTATTCAAAGAGAGCTTTCTTAGCGCCCCAAATTTTGCAAAGTGTTAGAGACTGGATTTTGCCCTCACCTGGAAACTTGGGGTGAGCTCTTAAAACATCCATGAATGGGAAAACACAGAGGTTGTACCTGATGTCATCTTAAAGGAGAGCACCATCCCCGATATTGGTTTCCTCAAGCTAGGGGACAGCAGGCTGGACACTAGTATAGTGATATCCATTGTCTTTGTTTTCTCAGCTTTGGCAGGTGGCAACATTCTTTATCAAGCTGTGCTCCCTGAGTTTCTGCAAATTTCTCTCTCTCAATAGAGGAGGAGAAAAGAGAACAAAAACATAATTTCTGACTTCTAGTGCCTTTTGGTTTATTTGCCTTTTTTCTTAATCCCTTGGGCTTTCTGGGGCAAGATGCAGACAGCCATATGCTTATGTAGGTTGTTTGGGGGCTGATCCCATTTTCCTTTGCCCGGGATCTTGAGGCAGGAACTACTCATTAGAATATAAGAAACTTATACCATAGTCATAATTCTCAATGTACTATCCTGAGGTAATTGCGCTAGGAAAAAAGCACCTGTTTTAGCCCATAGGATGCAACAGAGGACTCTTTGCTGCCAAAGTGGCTGCATCTAATTTGTTGCTGACATGCCTCACGTCCCTTCAGGTGGAAATGATCATTGAGAGGAGTCAGAGTGAGTTTGGCTTAGGATGCCTCCAGATTCCTTTCCTGCGGTGCTACATGCGCGCTGAAATGGAGTGCAGCTGTGTCTATCAGCTTCAGAGCCCTTTCTGCTGGCAGAGTGAAACTCAGCAAGTTGGGCACACTGAGAATAAAATATCTGGCTGCAGGTACTTCTCGCATATTGAATACCATCTGGACTTTGTGCTGTTCTGGTCTGCTCCACCATCTCAAGGTGGGAAAAGTGTATCCTAGTCAGAGTGGTCCCTAAGCGGGGAAAAAATTCCCCAGAGAAGAAGAGAAAGAGGAGGAGGAAAAAGTGTTCAAAACTGCTGCAATGTTAAAAAGGGGCAATGTTTAAAACAAGAACGGCTAATGCTGGAACCCATCATGGTCATTCTCAAGGTTGGGGGTAAGGTGCTTTTGTCAGTCTTCCCAGTGGGTGGGGCTGACACCCCTACTGTTCCTTTCAAATCTCTTGAGCTGCACTAATCCTCACTGAGTGGTTGGAGACATGATGCAGAATGGACCAGATTCACTGTTGCTGGTGTAGGTTATGAACAGAGGCAAGTACAAGGGCCCTTCTGCGAAGCCATTGTGACTTTCTTTTATAAGGCCCAATGTTAATTGTGCAACATCCTTTGTCTCACCTGTCCCAAACTGTCTGCCAGGCCTACTGGGAGAACTCAGTCCCACTGGGGGAAGAGAGAGTTGACAGGAAATGTGCCCAGAATTAATGCATTGACTCCTAGCCATTGTAAAACAGCTTCTACTTCATACAGTTCAACCCTGGCCAATGAGCAGTAAATGTCTCACAGGCATTTCACTGTGCTTCTGATGTAGTCAGGCGTCCTACAGCTGCAAGTTTGATAGCATTGGCTCAACCAGTCCTGGTGTAAACTACTTCCTGTGGCAGCATGATGCCCTGAGTTTGCTTTCAACAACTAAATTTCCCACTAGAGGCCATCCCATGAGAAACCTCCACCAAGGCGACTCGGACTTGCTAAGACACTGGGCTAACTCTAGCCTAGTTCCAATAAATGTTTTGAGACCAAGTGCACAAAACAAAAGCTAGTGTATGTGACACCAATAATGGTTTGTGCTCTGCTGCTCCAGAGACAGCTCGTTTAACTGACTACCCTAACCCATGAGACACCTAGATGTTGGCTTACAAACAGGGAGGTAAACTATGAGTCTATGAGTCTATAAAAACAAAAGTACACGATTGGGTTCTTCAAAATTGAGTTCTTAAGTTGGGGGAGAGGAGTTTTGTTTGGATGAAAGGAGGGTGCAGTAAAGGAAATGAGGCTTCTGCTGATAGAGGAGAATAGGGACAAGAGCTAAACTGCTCCAAACTGCAGTAAAGAGGGCAAGTTTATTACATCTTAGGGCCTATCTACACAGGGAAATTTACTGGCATAACTATACCAGTGTACTGCTTCCAAGCAACATAAACTAACCTGCAATGAACCACTTGTATTCCAGAATAAGAGTGTCCACACAAGGAGTTCTAGTGGTAAAACGATTGCACTATAATTATACCAGTAAATTTCCCTGTGTAGACAAGCCCTTTGTGTTATAAGAATTAAACACTGCTTTCACGTGTGAACTAAGGTGTCATTTTATCTATTAACAAAGTGTGTGCACTATTTACTGTGAAACTTACAAAAATAGTAAAAACAATATTTGAAAGTTAGTTTTTGATAGATAAGTAAAGGGAGAAACTAAGTCCAGCATTCTGGACCAAATTCATCTATTAATTATGTGCTGCAACTCCCACTGAAATCAGTAGAAAGTGTGTGTAGTTGATGGCTTCACTAGTGTCTGCAGCAGTGATGTGAATATTTTAGTTGCATTGATGTCAGCAATCACTACAGGGTGAGCCCTAAGTAAGGATATGCCGACACTACAGCTGGCAGCGTGCTTCCCAGCATGGGTAGATAGACACAAGCTTGCTCAGTTTGAGCTACCATGCTAAAAATAGCCATGTAGCTGGAAGTGACAGATGCAGCAGCTTGGGCTAACTGCCTGAGTACAACTCCACCCAGACCTCCAGAGTACATACACGGGTGGCTACCCCCAGCTACACTGCTATTTTTCACGATAGCTCAAAAGCAAACCTAGCACATCTGTCTACCTGCACTGGGAAGCAGATCCCAGCTACAGTGTAGACATAACCTATAAGATGTTGGATAAAATTTCTGAAAGAGCCCATCCATTTTTCAAAAGTCTAAGTCACACGTACTTCCATTGAGACTAAGGGCTGGTCTACACTACTGCTTAAGTCCATGTAACGTACGTCGCTCAGGGGTGTGAAAAAGCCACCCCCGAGTGACATAAATTACATCAACTTAAGCGCTGCCCACACCGGTGCTACGTCGGCAGGAGGCGCTCTCCCGCCGACATAGCTTTCAGCTCTTGCGGAGGTGGAGTAATTATCCGACAGGAGAGCACTCTCCCGTCAGCATGGCACGTCGTCACTAGGTGCAGCTGTGCCAATGTAGCGCTCTCGTGTAGACTTGCCCTCAGCCTGAGTGCCTAAGTGACTTGAAAATGAGACCAAGGCATACTTAGATCTGATATTTGAACGTTTGATATTAAAGGTTAAATCCAAGGCCTGGTCTACACTATGGGATTAATTCGGATTTAGCAGCGTTAATTCGAATTAACCCTTCACCCGTCCACACTACAGAGCCATTTAGTTCGAATTAAAGGGTGCTTTAAATCGATTTCTGTACTCCACCTCGACGAGCGGAGTAGCGCCAAAATCGATTTTGTTAATTCGAATTAGGGTTAGTGTGGCCGCACACCACCGAATTAATGTGGTTAAAATAAATGGGGTAGTGTGGCCGCACACCACCGAATTAATGTGGTTAAAAACCGAATTAATGTGCTTAGTGTGGCCGCGCACAATCGAATTTATACAACCTGTTTCCCAAATTCGAATTATCTAAATTCGGATTAATCCCGTAGTGTAGACATACCCCAAGATTTATTTCTTGGCACTGAGCATAAAAAAATCCAGATGGTTACTAACCAGAAACTGCATTTTATATTCTGGCTGAATATTGCATAACTTTAGTCAGATTGGATAGGACTAAAACAGGTAGCTTCTTCTCCTGTCATTTGTAGGCAAAATGGCACGAAACAGAACGGCAGTGTGAGGCAAACAGAAAACAATTCAACCAACGCCTATTGGCTAATGAATCCTTAAACCATGGACAGAGTAGAGCTTATTGAGAAGAGATGCAGCAGACATTTTTGTATTTCAGAAAGATGGGGTGAAACCAAAACCCCACATTCAAATATCCTTGAAAACTGGGATACCTTGGATCCAGATCTGACCTTTGCATCTGAGGCTCATCCATGATTTAATATTCTGATCTTCAAACTCCCCAAGTTTTTGGACTGTTTTTGACATGTCAGAGTCTCTCTCAAAAGCATAAGTATAATATTACTGTAGTCAAGTGGCATTTCTACTGTTCTGCTACAGATACAGTATTTTTAATATCCAATGCTAGATTTCATTTCAAAGAAACAAATTAAACAATTTAAAAAGCCAGTATAACAGGACATAATTCTAGATCCATTTGTAAATGGCTCCTGTAAGAGTCCAAGTAATCTCCGCCCCCTACACATTGGCAACAAGAATAAAGTCCTGTTTGACTCTGAATTTAATACATAATAAAAATGTAACGTTTATTTTGGGAATCGATTTTGAAGCTTTTACAAAGAAGTTTCAAAAGTATAAACTTAAATCCCTTTTCCAAATGTTTAAGTCCTTGTTAGATTTCCTGATTTAACCATTTCAAAGAGGAAACCAATTTACAGACACACAGACAAACAACGAGAAGTTAATCTAATAATGCAATCAAAACATTTTCCTAGTTGAAAAGTTGCAATAGAGCAACTAAAGTGTCAATTGCCTTACACACTGACTAGCCTTCCATATCGGTTTCTGGTTTTTCAGTACGATCATAAAGGGTCTGATTCAAACCATTGAAGTCAATGAGCTTTGGATTAGGCCCAAATTTAGCTGGTATTAATGTTAATGTCTCTAACACAACTCATAGTATATGAGTTCCGATCATCTGCAATTAATACTCTTTATTTTCCCTAAAAGTGCCTATATCAAACAGAAGATACAGCCAAGATGCTACATCTGACAGCTTTACAAGTTGTGCAACATCCATGCCAAACAGCAGATACAAAGAAGAGATTTACAACTCCAGCATCATGAAACCCAACAAAACGGAAAGCAGGATACATCCATCTCATCATCTCATTAAAGAAGAAAACAAGTTAGCGTTCAGCAGAGACCTACAAGAAAAAGTGTGTGTTAATGAAAAGTCTTTTTCAAACTCCATAGCTAATTCCTTGTTGCCAAAATCAGAATGTTTTCAGGCTAAAGCTATTGGACAATTAAGTCATCTCCTGCCAGTGCCAACAGTATATGAACAAACAAGGAGAATATGTATGAAAGAACCAAAATATGGGCATATTAGCCATCATGCTATGAACCTGGATGAACTAGACAACGATGACAGAATGACAGTAAAGCTTGACCATGACTCTGAAAATGAACACATGATGGATACAAGAACTACTGGACAAGTCCCATTTGTATTTCTGAACTATCACCATGTTTTAGCCAAACACGGTACATTTCAAACCTCAGCATGTACAGCGACTGGACATGTAGCAGAAAATTATGGATACACTTCTGAAGAGGTAAATACATTTATTTATAAAAACCAAAGTCCATCATCAGCGTCTTCTCCAGAAACCCACAAGGAGACTGCACTACCCCATTATATTGGAACTTCTGTAATAATAGCCAATGGGAGGTGACGATAATAGAAATGTATTTCTTAATTAAAAACAAACCCAAACTGTAATAATTTCTAAAAAGCATGAGAAAACATGGTTACATTTACTGAGCATAGCAGAAGGTCAATGAGGGACAAACTTGTATGTGTTCTTGGCAAGTAATGTGTAATAGTACCTTTAAGGTCAGAAAAATACACATCTAGCTTCAGTGCTTCATTGTTACAGATTAATCTCTGGTGTAGACTCTGCCAGTAAGAAGCCATATAAAGATCATATTTTTGTTATTTTACAGTGTGTAACAAAATTAAAGGGTAAGTGTTATATGCCTAGAATTATACAGAGGCAACTATTTTTTTTCTTTTTTTAAAAACTAGGACTCCAAAATATATTCAAGATTTTTATCATTAATATGAACCATAACATTTAGTTTAAATGTTATCTGACAAACACTGTGAAATATTAGAGCAATTTTCAATCCATGTTGTAAACAACCTGACAAATGAACTTTGTTTAAAAAATGGTAATGAATCCTAGGTATCCATGACATAATTGCATGAACTAACCACAAATCACATTGTCTTGGAATGCTTATTAATTATTTGAATGGTCTAAAACAAAGTTTGATGATTCTACCTTGATGATATATTTTAACACAGAGTCAGGAATTCATACCTTGTTGCTATCACAGTGTATTCCAGAGGGATGATAAAATGTCAAACTAGACGACACAGATACATATTAAAAAGTCTTGTCATAGCAAGATTGGCATAACATGAGATCACACTGCAAGGACTGAAAATTACTCCCAATAAAAAAAATGCTAAATGATAAGAAATAACTTTTTGAAGTGTGTGCCACTGGATATACTGGGAGAAGATTGTGCACTTTTTCAAACAAACTATTCAAAAGACCGTCCTCATAGGAACATTAGAAATTTCTTATTATAGACAGCGAAGGAAATAGTGAAAAGAATTCAGTGAAACTTTACAAGCTTGGTTCAAAACGTGTCAGCAGTTTCTAAAGTTTTGAAAAAGTTCAGGTTTTAGCAAACTGGATTTTCTCAAGGTTGAATTCTCCTTGTCGACCCGAAGTCAAGATTCAGGTTTCACAGATTCTCTCTCACCACAAAAAACTTTGATGGACACTTTGGACACAAGAAACCACCGCAAGTTACAAAAAGCAGTTTGAGTACATTTGTGTTAGATAGAGCTGAACATTTCGTACAGCTCTCATGGTTAGGTACAGTAAACTGTATCCAGGAAAAAGCATTTCAGATTAGCAGAAAATCCCCATCTACTTAGTTTTGTTCAGTATTTCCAATAAAGTACCAATTAGTTATTTTCGCCTGTCCCTACGGTGTACAAATCAGGACATAAGGAGACATACGTATTTACAATAGAACCTCACTGTTACAAACACTAGAGTTACAAACTGACCAGTCAACCACCCCACCTCATTTGGAACTGGAAGTACACAATCAGTCAACTGTAGAGACCGCCCTCTCCAAAAAAGTAAATACAGTACTGTACTGTGTTGAACGAAAACTACAAAAAAAGTAAAGGGAAAGCAGCATTTTTCTTCCACATAGTAAAGTTTCAAAGCTGTATTAAATCAATGTTGAGTTTTAAACTTTTGAAAGAACAACTGTAACGTTTTGTTCAGAGTTGCAAACATTTCAGTTATGAACAATCTCCATTCCCAAGGTGTTCGTAATTCTGAGGTTCTACTGTATGTATGTTCTATAGAGAGTAGACATGATCAGCATACAACACCTTCTCCATCACCTCCCTAAAAATTCTTTGTGCCCTTGATAAAATGACGAATGACTCCCTAAAATAATACATATAAACATTAACAAGTACAAATAATGGAGTCAGATGGTGTTTTATAAGAAGACTGCATTGTAGACTTGAGTCAGCAATATCTAGCTTCTTTTTTTAGTTCCATTCAAGGCTAGATTACATTATAAAAGCTTTTATCTGCCACAGCTAAATATAAATGTCTCATGCTCTGTAGGAGTATCTCTAAAGAAAGTACTCACATGGCTTGTGCAATATGGAAAAATACATGCTCATGGATTACACCTTATTAAAGACAAATATGTTAAAGGATGTAATAAAATGTATACATTTTTAATCAATAAAGCATTTTCTGTATTTCATACACAGCAACAAAATTCATTCATCTTCCTGGTTTTTATGAATATTAATTGATATAACAAGTAAACAGAAATGCTTTAAAGACGTGTTTAAAAAACAGTTTTCAGTATTTGTACTGCCTTCCTATTAAAAGGTTAATAGTATTAAGAAAGCCTTATTTTGCAATTAATCTGATGTATTGTAAGTTCACAGTTAACTGAACTTTTAATTTGCTTACAGTGCTTTTTTCTCTGCCCCTGCATACTTTCACTATAATGCTCAACAAAAATATTTACTAGTAGCTACTAGAATTTTGATGCCTTTACAAAAATGTTCACTGTAAGTGCACTCTGTGCTTCTCTAAAGATAGAAAGGAGTCAGGTCTAAAAGAATTTTACAAGTGAATCCTATTACCGATATTGATATGATTAGCTACAAGTGCTTTGTTCTCGTTGTTTAATTGACCTTCCAAACTAGTGTCACTAATGTATGTGTCCAACTTAATTCCTGGAAGACTACAATGATGCCAAGACTTAAGTGTGTTAATTTTTTAAAATTAAAAATGTCCTGCAATGAGAAAACTGACATTGTCGTCACTGTCAAGAAGAAACCCGATGCACAGCTCTCCCATATACATTTTGCTATACATCACTAGTACGCTGCACACAACGTCAGTCTAGTATATTTTTCTGTTCTCTTGAGTTGGTCTTCATTGTGAAAACATGATTTCAGAAGGTACAAGTTTGGCTTTAGTGTTTTTTTTGTTTTGTTTTTTACAATACCACAAAGTATTTTCAAGCATCTACTTCCTTATTCACACTTTGCGGCTGTAGTCAAAGAATATGTGTTATGGAGGTGTTCCATCATTCCCCGGCAGATGTTTTACAGTACATGATGTTCTGATACATAGAGGTTTATAGTTAGGAAATAGTCAATTATGCATTCACATATGATAATGTGGATTAAGTTTCAGAACATATATTTGTGACTAAAAAACCCAAATGTGTAACATTTCCCCGAGCCACCCCAAATAGAAACACTGATTGTGTATTCACATCTGGAACATGAATGAAGAATTCTATAAAGAAGCAGGAGTACAGATCTATACTTTGAGACAGTTAAACTACAGATGTTCACTGTGCATACTCAGCGCAGTATATGGGGCAAGAATTGACTTTTTTTTTTAATATTAGGAAAAATATTCCATATAAGTGGAGTGTAAATCAGAATATATTAGGGAAAAACCATTTCATTTCCCTTCTCTCTACCACATTCATTTGAGCCAGAAATACTTTCATTGTGCAACTCCACAGATTTTTTCACTTCTTAGGGAGTTCCTGGAATGGCAAAGAAACTATGTAAAGAGAAATACAGAGTTTTAATGAAGAGTGAAATTGGAAACATTAATCACTTATTGGTGTCTCAAAATTTGTATGCTATTAGCAGAGATATCACAACACTTGTAAGTGCAGTAACAAACTTTTCTATTGAATTCAGCCCTGAAGTTTCTAAAGAGTTACTCAGTAGATTTGCTCATTCTAAACACAGTGATATGCACAATATATAGGTTAGAAAATATAGCTCACTCACAAAACAGATGCTGTTTTTATGAAAGAATGGGATATCTGCTGGAATATTGGTACTTGTCTGAAATTCACAAAATGTGACAGTAAATGTATTTTTTCAATCCATCTCAGTTATTTCTCAGAACAAATGTGTCTGAGTCCACTTTTTTCCTGGAACATTTTTTTTTTTAAATATGATGCAGAAATGAAGTATTTGGCAAATACTTGTGAAAAGTAAAGAAAAATACAAACACACTATTAATGCTCGGAATTATGTATGTACTCCCTAAAAATATAAAGCATATTTTGCTTATTTATTATATAAAACAAAACTGTTAAAATGTTAATAAATACTGTAGCCAAAGGAGTAATGGGTTTGATTTTTTTAAAATACAAGCATAAGGCATTAAGAATGACAGACACATAGTGGAGATTTTTTTGAGCATTTAGAGTTTTTAATTGTAATCATAGCTTTGACAACATTAACTTAGATTATTCTTTCAAACTGTGAAATGCAAGGATTTAATTTATTTTATTCCAACTATGCATAGCAGTTTTATAGAAATAGGGTTATTTTCAGTCCTTAAAGATAAGGCTATCTGCTGAATAAAGCCTACCAATAGAGTATTTTAAATACATCACAAATGTACAGCATTTGATTGCAACTCCTTTTCCTAAACTATTTGTGGGACTCTAATGTGTTAATTCTTCGGCTAAGTCCCATCTGTTAATGGTGAGAAAGCAGCTTTAGCACCCTGGTACCGGTCCACTACAGTAGCATAAACACTGCTGAAAAATGCATGTGTGCTCCACAAATACAGCTCACCAGGAAATCAGCTAGTTTTAATAGGTTCTAATGATGGAATCTATCCCCACTAAAAGACATAAGCTGAACTGAAGAATGGGTTATGTACTACTCCTTTCCATGCCAAATATTTTAGTGCTGTATTTTTTGCACAACTATATGTTTCATCATAGTTCCCCAACTAGTTTCAGAATTGTAATTTTTCAAATTACTATGGTCCTGTTGCTGAATCAAAAAGAGCAAAATATCTTTAACTGCCTCCCCCCGCCAAAAAAACACCAAAACCAAAATATTTTCTTACCTGCAATAGTTGAGCTACAGCATAAAGATTTAAACATTTTTCAATACAATTTCTAGATAACAGCCCTTGAGGTATATTAATCTTGCAGGATATATATTTAAAAATGCACCAAACGCTTATAAAACATCATAACAGGAGTGAGGTTTGCTCAGATCTTGAACTCTTAATTCTAAGTGCCTGATATAATTTTAAAAACACTGGAAATGGTATCAGTTCTACTTGGATACAAGTCCCTGTCTCACTCTTTCCAAAGAGAGAGACAAAGACACCTCCTCCTCCCCCAGCCACACTTGCTCAGCAAAAGTTTTGCTATCAATATACAATCTCTATAACTATTTTCACGTCTAATGAGGAGTTTGAGTCCAGGAGAAAATCTCAAATTGCAAGAAATATGGGTACCATAATGAAACACTTTTGACAGCACTTCATCAAGAAAATTGTTTGAGATGTGACATCAGCCTAAAAATGAAATAGATGTTTTACTAATCTGGATATTTTAACAGCAACACATTTTCAGTGTGATACTTCCAGATTTTTGGGATGGCTGAATTCCTACCTTTGCCCATACGTATTTCTATGTTTTATCTAATTTGTATAGGGATTTTTTTTAATCAAAAAAAGTAGTAGTTATACAAAAACTCTGACTTTTTTTTTTTAAACACAAGTTTGGCACAAAAACAATGAGATTACCGACTGTGTTCCCCATATACCTTAAGATGAGTGTAGAATAAAAAGGCTTTCTTGACAGTAACAGCTGCTGGTCAGAATGGCCTTACTCAGCTGTTCTGCATAAAACAGGAATTTGCTTTGTAAAAATCTGTGGTACATCTGAAGCAAAAGTCAGGTTTATGACAAATGTTTCATCCTACTGAAGGCTGTTTTTCCCCTCTCAAGACAATAGGTAGTCTTGTACACACGAGAACAAGCCATTAAAAAGTGTAAAGGAAAAGTAGTATTCCCACACGATCTACTTGTGCTCTGACATGTCCACACTTCATTAGTTTTCATTTACAAAAAGGAAATTAAATAATTTTTCCAATGCAGACATGTCCAGAATAGCATTACAGCGTAAAACATAAACAAAACATGGTTTTCATTAAGAACTCCCCACAGAAATCCCAAAAGCAATGACAGGAGCTATGAAAGACTGTTGGCATTTTATTATATAGTTAAAGATATATATCTGCCTGCTCTACAGGTCCTGTGGCATTTCAGCTAAGTGAAGTTTTATAGACACTCAGCTCGGTCCACAAGAAGGAGTACATTTTCCTCCTTAGTCTTTTTATTGGGATAATGTGCCTACTGCAACGTTCATGCAAGTGGGTCTTTGTCCGGCTAGCCTGAGGAAAAGGGGTGTTGCCCCTTTAACGGCTCCCTTTCAGCAGATGGGGAGAAAGGGGAAGTTTACAGGTACGGACAGGAACGGTAGAAAGCAGTTGGGGCCAGGTCAGTTGAGGGCTGCTGCATTACCCTCCTGCTGACCGAAAGAGTGTGTGTGTGTGGGGGGGGAGGTATTTATACCCATGCAGCCCTACCAAACCATGTGGGCAGGCCTATATTCCTATGCCGGGTCGCAAAGAAGTCAATGAGGATTTGTAAAGTGTTACATGGGCTTAAACTGCACATTTTGGACTTAGATGTTGATCCAAATGTGCCCAATGTTTTGGGGTGTTTGTATCCAGGGTTTTGGATCAGTCCATGACCGAGATCAGGGCACGCCACAACATTCAAATCTGGATCAAAACTTCCTGAAGTTTGGGTGTATTTCAATCAGGGGACTGTGGTTCAGGACTGTGGGGGAGGGATAGCTCAGTGGTTTGGGCATTGGCCTGCTAAACCCAGGGTTGTGAGTTCAATCCTTGAAGGGGCAATTAGGGATCTAGGGCAAAATTAGTACTTGGTCCTGCTAGTGAATTTTTTTATTATTATTATTAAGATTAATCTCTATTATAAAGTTTATGATTTCATATGGAAATTTTCAGAACTACTGTTGCTATTGATCTCACTACAGAATAGGCCATATATTGTCACATTTCAAATGTAAGTCACATTCAGATCAACTCTGCTCAGACAAAAAAAAAAAATCAGTGGTATGATATGGCCCTAAGTGTGTTAATTCTGCTTTACAAAAAGGCTGCCTGACTGTGCCCTGATAGTGACAGTCAGGTTTTATATTACGGACTGCAGCACAAACAGCAGTTTTCTAGATTAATTCAGCTATACAAGAGTCAGATTGGGAACGCACTGCTCTGCATTAAGGGAAGGTTTTCATGATGAAATAAACCAGACCAAGAAGAACCAAGAGCATTGTTGAATTTTCTTTTCACTGTTTATAGCTGGGGATGGTGGCAAGGAGTAAAAAGCAATATCAAAATTCTGCAGTTGACAAGTAGCAACATGCATCATTCATAAACTGTATAAAGAAAAGGTAGCGAAGAAGAGAAGAGTAGAGAACACTACATTGCAAGAGTTCCTCTCAGTATTTAAGATTAGTAGCTCAAACTTAAATATGAGTATTAAAAATAAATAATCATGTATATCTATAAGTCAGTAGTCAAAAGTTCCCAGCCCAAAGTAGTATTAAAATCTAACCAAGATCTTGTGAGAGGGAAGTTGGGCATTATTATTTACACATAGTACATTAAATATGAATTATTAAATAAGTCATTCAATATTTAGTCTCTATTGTGTTACTTCTATCATTTTTTTGGTGTGCAGTCTTGTCTGATGTAAGAAACGGACTGTTTTGTAAGTCAGAAAATGAAAGAAACTGTGACATGGAGGGCAAAATCCTCACTTTAAATACACAGAAAACTTAATCGCTAGCAATTTACCGACAAAGCATCCAAATCCCAGTAAATCAGGATTACCCTAATCTACCATTACAGGCCAACTCTCCTTTACGATTTCTTGGATTTGTAATTGAGCTGATCTCCTTATATTGGTTATTTATGAAGTGAACTTTAACCCATAAATTCCATTTCTGGCTAGAAGACAGGAATGTATTTGTGAGAACCCACTTGGTTAAGCCAAGCTTCCTAAGGGAAGGGTGTAGAAATAACCAATGGCAGTCCACATTAGGAGATATAGCTGGCTATTGGCCAGGTCACACCTGACATCTATTGATGTGTGGTGATTGGCTTGAGGTCCATTGCTCAGGTGACCAGGCTGTAAATGAAAATTTGACTGGTCCAGGAGAAGAACCTGAAAGCATATACGTGCAGTTGGGAGCTCAAGTTCAGCTTCTCGCCTATGCCCTCCAGTCACATACTGTCTTATCTACTGTATCTGACCCAACCTCTACAGCAATTAGGTAAGGTTGGAGGCTGGACTGCAGGGCACTTTCAAGTAAACAATCCTTAAATCCCTTGGGTTCAATTATTAACACCACAATAGGAGGCTTGCTTTGGGAAATAGTAGGAAAGTACAATAAAAGAGATTTTAGAGAGATGGTTGGAACAGAGGCCCCCTCATTGTGCTTTTCTCACTGGAATAGTTGCTAGCAGAGGAGACCTTAAGAACAAGGTTCCTTCTCTTATTTCATCATTTGGATGGGGTTCACCTCTCAGGGATTGAGTGAAGTACAGTCAACACTGATATCAATTCTTGGACTGAGTATTGATGGCCAATAGCATAGGGGATGACAACTAAGTGATTCACTAATTGCATATGTGGTGGGCAATTCTTGTGGAGGGTTAAGAGCTCTTGAAAGAAAGACCATGATACAAGGAAGCATGGAGTGATTTACTAAGAATCAGAGCTAGTTAACAGGCTAAGAAAAGCAGAAAATATCTATATCTTGGGGGTTATAAATTAACCCAGTTCGCAGGCACTGCTGGTAGGGATGTCCAAGCATAAGGCCACCACAAGAGAGGTGCAAAGGGCCTACAGGCCAGAGATCCAGTTACAGAATGATGAAAGGATATAGGGAGCAGAGCCAAATCAGCAAAGTTGCTCATTATTTCTAAAGGGTGGGAGGGACTATAATCTAAGTATACAGTGAGTATACAGTTAACTTAATAAACTTGCAGAATTCTTCCCACTTTCCCTTATGGGTGTGTGGTGAGTTCTTTCACATGTCCCCTCCACAGCTGACATAAGCAGAACTCATTTCTTTAAAATTTCATAGTAAGTAATTTAAACATTTTACTGCTTATATCCAAAGCAAAACCACAACAGACGCATTATTCAAACACATTTTTTTTAAAACAAATATATGCAGTCTTTTTAGTTTCTTAAATATATTGAATTAATGATGAGCTTAACATCTTCCTTTGCAAATACTTCCCTACTGTAAATGCTTATAACAAACAATACCATTAGTGAATTTTTTTAGCAATTAGCGAAAGATTACGGGTCTCCAGTAATGGGATAACACTAACTTTTGTAGCAACTTTCAACTAAGCTATCCATGTTAAGAAAGAAGAAACTAAAGATTAGGAGAAATCCATTTTTTACCAATCATAAGCTACCTCTCACCTCTATGCTTAAAAATATACAACATGAAAAACGCATAGAAAATACTAACTGGTCCTTAGGGCCACTGGCTAGAAAACACAGCAGAAATGAAACAATAATGTAAAACGCAATATGTAGCTTTTACACTTCACCTCCAAATCATTCCAGTTTGATATATTGTGTATAGCCAAGATCAGCTGCTAGGTGCTGAATACTGAACAATCTTCTTAGAGCAGCTTTTTCAACAACTCTAAGGTCTACTGCTGCTTTGAGATAATAAGGTTTTTCAGCATGTCAAATGAGTTGCCATCTGGGTGCACAGACTCTACACCTTTGCCTTCCTCATGAACTTGAAGGAATCCACAATCATCTATTCCAACTATCCATGCTAATGGGCCCTCTTCACTCCAGAGACGGACGTGCCTACCACTATAAAAAAAAAAAAAAAGAAAAGAAAAGAAAAGGGAGCACCAGTTAATTATTTAAAAATAAACTTGGAACACGTCACAAAAATAACCCATTATATTATTACATGTGAACTTTTCCCTCCTCTGAAACGAAATGAAAACAAAACAATGGTTGAAATTCACCAGAGTTGGTTGTGGATTTTAACAACAATTCAACAAGGATGACTAACAAACAGCAATCATGATAAATACTATAGGGAGAGCATTGAGTCTTCTATTAAAGACAGTGTTATTCCTCATTTCTCTGAATCTTTAGAGAAATAATGACCTTCAGTAGAGCTCCTTTATTTTCTCCTTAGACCCCTTTTGCAGAACGCATGGTTAATTCACACTATTTTTACAACATAATTTTTGATAAATTAGTACAGCACAATTTTTAAGAAAACCAAATAGCTATAAAACCCTAAATATTCTCATTGTTTCATGAGATGGTACATGCAAGATCCCTAGCAAAGTTTTGTAATAAATGCCAATACATTAAAATTTTGATCTATGCTATTCTAACACCAATATAAATACTGAAAATATGCTCTTACGTAAAACCCAAGTAAGTCACTACTGTTTGAAAAGGCAATCTAGTGGAACATTCACAGTGCAAGGCAAGACATCTATGAGTTATTCCTAATTCTCTAAAGGGAAAGTTTAGGAAAAGATGAATAGAAGAGACAGCTATACTTACGCATGTATCCAGTATTTATAATATAAGGGAAGAACTCCATCAGGTCCTTTTTCCTGAAATATGTCTATCAGTCTTTCCAGCACAGTTACACTCCTAGCAATCAGGTAGTCTACTGTTAAGGACCTTAGTTTTGTCATATTTTTCTTATTGTACTCCATGATGAGATCATTGATGCATATGGTGGGATTGCTATTATTCACATTAAATCCACAGCCTGAGGAAGAAAAATCAAGAGTGCACAGTAGGAAATGTTGACTGTTTCTTATCATATAACAAATGCATTTGCACTTTCTTCAATCATTTGGTGCAAAGCTTTCTAAAGGTTTTCTTAAAGGATTTTCCCACCATTGTACCGTTTTTCATCAATCTCTTGCATTCCCAAATGCATGTATGCAGCTAATTACACTCAGAGCCTAGTTAACATTTATGTCCACATCCTCCCTTAAACTCCTTTCTGCCAATAAATGCCAGTTCAAATAGCGCCAATACAGTCCCATCAAGAAAATGCCATCCTACCAAACTCCTAACTTGTGACTAAAGTGAAGATTTAGGAATAAGGAAAGTGCTAGCTGTGCTGTCTAGATTGCCAATAAAGAACTGAAAATCCCTTAAATTGTGGTATTGACAGCCAGCTACCAAACTATCTGAAAGCAGACGATTAACCACACTATGAATCTAGCAGCCTAGAACGTGACTAAGAGTCTCTTCTATTTACTACAGTTAACTGATTTCACATTCTGAAAAATAAGCCTTTTTTTCCTCAGCTCATAAGTCAGCAATTGGCTTCCTGGGAAAAGCCCTGAAGAGTCAGACTTTCAGGGTTAGACTCCAGATAGTTTAAGCTGTCTTGCCATAATATCCTTTTGAAGCCTCAAGTTTCTCACTGAGATCTCTCCAGCTAGGATAATGTTGGCAAAAAGCCATTCTTATTATATGGCTCTTGGGGACCTTTCTTGCAGCCTCCTCAAACAGGCTTTGAGAGATGTAAGAAAATCTTGTATTAACTATTTGTTCTCTCCTTCCCCCCATATAATGTGGATTTTCCTTTCCCTGTGCAGTTAGGCCAGACTTGTCACTCAGGCTCAAGAGTAAACTGGCTTCTTCCGTATGAAGCAGTAGGTTACATTATTTTATAAACTTGATGAGATCATGAAAACATGGAATTAATTCTCTCAGAATTACCTGGAGAGAGAAGGTTCTCTTCACGAACTAAATTACTTTTTTTCTTTTTAAATAACTAGAATATGCTCACAAAAGAAAGATCTACAGTAATATCCAGCAAAATATATCAATACAACTGGAAGTAGGGAGAAGTGGATTATCTAACAAGAAAATGAGAAAAATTAACACAATATGCTAAGAAGTAAACAATTCAAACACAGCTATTTGCACTCAAACATAGTACATATGAATACAGACCCTAGCTACTAATGTACTATCAGTTTCAAGACATCACCTATCTTGCAGAGCCTGACAAACATGTGAGCAGAGGATCAGACTGAAGCCTTAGAAATCTCTTCATAGGATATATGAAATGAGTGACCAGTCATGGTTAGAAAACCTGGTAATGCCAGTTAGTTAAAGAGTTTGTCTTTGGCCTTTTATGCTTCTGAGACGGACACTTAAATTCAGCTGGCTATCCTGGCAGAGAGGATCTTTGTCCTGATACAAAAAACAACGAGGAGTCCAGTGGCACCTTAAAGGTTAACAGAGTTATTTGGGCATAAACTTTCATGGGTAAAAAACCCACTTCTTCAGATGCATGGAGTGAAAATTACAGATACATGAAGAGAAGGGAGTTACCTTACAAAACACGGCTACCTCTCTTATAATCTAATCCTTCTAACCCTAGTATCAAAGTATCAGTTGTTTTATTAGCTGAAAAATGCAGTTTTAGTGGTTCCAAGACTGCCTGTGAATTTGACACGAATTTGTGGAATAGTTTCAGCCAAAAGGTTTTTGGGCTAGGTTCTCAATGGGACTTTCAGAAAACAGGAGAAAGAGCCCTCCCTCCCTACCTCTCCACCCATAACTAGGGTTAGAAGGTTTAGATTATTAAAGGAGTAGCTGTGTTTCGTAAGGTAACTCCCTTCTCTTCATGTGCCAATATATATTTATGCCTGTATCTGTAATTTTCACTCCATGCATCTGAAGAATTGGGTTCTTTTTAACCACAAAAGCTTATGCCCAAATAAATGTTAGTCTTTAAGGTGCCACCGGACTCCTCATTGTTTTTTTGGATACAGACTAACACGGCTACCCCTCTGATACTTTGTCCTGATATACAGACTTTGTTGGCTCTTGGTATTTATTACCACTCCCAACATATTGAATAAGTTTAATTGGAATTACATCACTCAACTTGGTTTACAATGAAGCCATGTGTCTGTAGAAAACGGATGGCACATTTTGCACATTGAGTTGTAGGAATTTGACCATGCTACTAATCCAAGAATGGGTAGATTACTCTGTACTCTAAATGCTGTCACCAATACACTCAATACTGTTACCAGATCACATATTCCTTGGAGAAAAGGAGGGAGAGGGGTAGTCAGACAGAAAAGAACCTTCTATTGGTAGTGCAGACACTAGTACAGAAATCTCAGGAACCTCCAATTTAGAGGGTCTGATTAGTAAATGAAAATACAACAGAACTCTGATTTTATGAACACTGACCTTATGAACAATTGGTTATATTAACAATTTTTTTGCCATTGAACATGCCTTCAGCCAACATTCAAGTGGCTGTGTAGATCTGAAAAAAATGAGAGATTCTGTGGCAAGGAAGAGAAGCAGTTCTCTCCAAGACAAATCGGGCACATTACATCCATTTGCCACCATTCGTTACGTACACTGACAACTGATAAATTAACCTATGAACGGAACTTACTGTCATTTTCAGATTTCCAATTTTATGAATTTTTGGATTTGTTGAACTCCTTAATCGCCAATTAGTTCATAAAACTGAGGTTCTAATGTGTAACCTCTTTCCAGACCTACTTTTGTCATGAAGTCTCCACTGGAGATGATTGAGAGGATGGAATGAATAAGTTCCAATTTGAATCGGAATTTTTTGGTGCATTTATTTAGCAGCTCCATGTCCAACGCTGAAATGTAATGAGTCAAGAGAAGTAACTGCTACAAAAAAGGTGATTTTTATTTATTTATTTTTAAGATGGGTTTTACCTTCTTGTCTTTAGACGATAAATTCTTTTGTAGGTATTACCCTTGGGTTAGAATGGCTCAGAAAAAAACATATGGAAGGACCAAATGCTCTAAAAGACAGAAGGCTTCATAACTGTTTCATAGCACCTTCCATTCTCTTAAGTTCATTAAAAAAGAAAATTGCCTTTCAAAGGTATGAGTTCAACAGAAGATTCAATGGCTGCAACTAAGTTGAAGAGAAAAGGAATGACTGACTTAAACGGTTTCAGAGGGGTAGCCATGTTAGTCTGTATCAGCAAAAACAATGAGGAGTCCTTGTGGCACCTTAGAGACTAACACATTTATTTGGGCATAAGCTTTCGTGGGCTATAACCTACTTCATCAGATGCATGAAGTGGGTTATAGCCCACGAAAGCTTATGCCCAAATAAATTATGCCACAAGGACTCCTCGTTGTTTTTGACTTAAACTGTGTAACTTGTTTAGATCTTTAAGCCATCTGGGTAGGAACCATGTCTTCATTCGCTCTGTAAAATACTGTGCACATATGTTGTGCTATGTACCAATACTAAACAATAATAATCATCTCCTTGTCTTAACCTTCTACATAGAAGATCCTTGACAAATCCAGTTTTTAGACTTATCAAAAGATAAAGAATTGCTTTGAGGAGGCAGGACATTCTGGAACTCCCTACAGAGCACAGAGTTTGCTCCTGAGCACATGACAGATCTATTCTACTCCTCACTTCATGGAGAAGGGAAAAGACACAGTGTACTTATTAGATAGGAAAAAACATTAAACATATAGTAAACGTTTCTCCATGGTACCCTACCTTTGTGATTCAATGTGAAAAAAAACTTTCATCCTGTTATTTTTAATTCTTCAAAATCTTCTATATCAGTCCTGATGCTTGTGTTTAGCTTCTCCCGGCCAGCCATATGGAATGTTATAGATCACAGAAGACATCTATTTTTTGTGTTTTGTGAATATCATGGTTTGCATACCAGCATACCCACTTCTCATTTGCTCTTGTTCTCGTAGTTTGAACTCGTATAGGACATTAAGAATAATTAAATAGCTTTAGAAAAAATGGCCTGACAAGCCTGAAAATAATTTAGACACTTACCAATAAGTATGTGAAATGTGTCTCCCATAAGTGTAGAATTTACCAGAACCCCACCAAGCTTCATGAGGTCACTGTAGTAAATATCATTTGGCCACTTCACTCGCAGGTCAATATCCTAAAGAAATAAATATATATGTATATAACCATATTATGCTGTTCTTTTATAAAGACACTGCCATCACTCAGTATTTCTGCAAATGCCATCCCTCTCTGCTACCTTGGAACATGCTAATTTAGTTCTTTCTTAATTAAAGTAGATCAAAATGGTTTACAGAACAATGAGTCAGACACACAACTATATTTTGAATTTGAGTTTTTATAACTAAGCACACATTTGAGGAACTCTGGTAAGTATAACAACATTAAGATGGAAACTCATGACTGCCAAAAATCCAAATATCAATGAGAAAGTTGGTATTTTCACCTTGAAAAACTCTTTCCCATTCTTGAGGCTTACTCCTCAACCCCAAAGAAAGTAAATATCTGTAGGGGAATCTGCAAGTTTCGTGGCGGTTTATTATGAAGGTTGGCAGCAATCACAAACAATTGAGAGTAGTTTATTTAGTAATAAGCTATACAGTAGATACTAATGGCTTACAGGAACTATACATAATCAAAAATAGGGACTTCAAAGTGACTTGGCAGAGGTCTTCCCTAAAAATCTCAAAATCACAGACAATAGGTAATTAACCATTGGAACAATTTACCAAGAGTTACGGGGATTGTCTATAACTGGCAATTTTGAAATCAAGATTGGATTTTTTAAGCAAAGAAACTAAAGTTCAAAAGGAATTATTTTGGGGAAATTCCTTGGCTTGTGTTATGTAGGTCAGACAACATGATCACAATGGTCCTTTCTAGCCTTTCGATCTATTAGTCTACGAATAACTTTGTTGAATTTCTTTATTCACCATAAAAATCTGTTTCAGGATAGAAATGATCTATTAAAGAAAGACAATCAACTTTGCTAAACATGCCTAGAACTGCCCACAATGAACAGAACAAATATATCCCAAGGTTCTTGCAGAAGTCAGACAGGGAGGCAATGACATCTTGAAGATCAGGAATGAAATTTAGCAGTCAGGAGAAAATTCCAGTTCACAATTAACTATGTAAATAGTCCTAAAAATATTCACATTTTATGCAGCTATGTTCAATCTATACCATGGTATTGGAAACACAAACTGCATCATATGACACCATTCCATTGCAATAAAGAAGTTTTTGTTAAAGCCCCAGAACTGAATTAAACTTTGCACCAGCTACTTAAATGTAAAAAGAAAGCAAATGTGCTTCCTGGAGCTTAAAAAACTGCATCTGACTGGATCCCAAGAGGCAAATCATGGGAGGTGCTCCATGACTACAAGAATCTGGTTACACCCTCTCCTTTTGTAGATTATGAAATCCTTTTACAGGATGTGTGAAAACTGCACCTGGGTCTATGTCTACTTTCCTGACAGATTTAAAGGCCAGGGAGGATTCCATTACACAGATGTCTCTGCATATCTGTACAGGAAATGCTAACTTATTCTGGTATCATAAGGAATTGTAAGAAAACATAGTTCATATTCATTACCACAAGCACTTGACTATCCACATTTCAGTGCAGATTTACAGAAGATTCTTGGGACATACAGTTTTCAAAGCATGCCACAGCTAAGCCATTCAGTATGTCAGGATTAACAGATCTTCTCAAGGCATCCTGTGCAGGTCATTACTCTCTGAACTGTAACAGACTCAGGAGTTCGAAAAATACACATTGCTAGCTTGTCTACATGAGGAAGTTAGTGTGGAATAAGTTAGGGTGTGAATTTAAAGCGCAATTGCTATTTCACACTAACTCCACTTTAAAGTACATTAAATTTAACCACACAAAGGCACTCTTAGTCCAGAATAAGAGTGCCATGTGGTGAGCTAGGGCAACATAGCAATTGTGCTTTAAATTCACACCCCAGCCTGTTCTGCACTAACTTCCCATGTAGACAAGCCAATAGACCACAGACATTTGTACTGCTAAGGAACTAACTGCTGGATATGGAGAACAGCAGATATTTCTACAATAGTACTAGTTTTCAAGATGAACTATAGTGGTGACATGAGTTTTTTATTGTAATATAATGAGGCAAGATGAGCTGCTGCATAACTACCATTGTTTCCAAAGGATTTACTGTCAAAATATAAAATACAATGCATTATTTTGCACTGATTTAGCAGGTTACATGTAGTGGTGACACACGTTATTTTTATTTGTAAGTTATGTACTGGCTCCTAAATACTGTTCTGAGTCAGGGACAGTAGAAAATATCTAGTACATAAGGTTTGTTTGTATTCAGAGCACTGTCATCTGCAAATGAAACTCTGAATTGAATTGTCAGATTTTCCCACTGAGAATCCAGAACTGTGGACAGTAGCTTGAACTGCTGGCCATTTAGAACTGTGAACACTAAAGACACAGCCCTAAAAATGACTGACTGATCAACTGAGACACGTACATTTGATACTTTTGTATGAAAATTCTGGAATGGAATTTGAGCATAATAAAACAACATTAAAAGTATGTTAAAGTAATAATAAAGGTCTGACTTATGCAAAAAGGTATGGAAATGTAAAGCTAAGATTGAAACCTCATCCATAACTTAGCCCATTGTTCCTAGCTACTGAAGCTCATATGGCATATATGTTCATCCACCATGTGGAGAGCCTTGCATTACCCTACGTCCAATGGGGCAATTTAAGAATAGAGTTTCAGATTTAACTTTGAATTTCCTTGCTTTCATGAATTTGAGTCAGACTCTTAACATTGTTTTAATCTATTGTCTGTGTTTAATTTCCTTTCTTTAAAAAAGTCTCAAACGGAGTACAGAAATCCTTTCTTCCACTGAGTTCAGGATGATGACAAACTGTCAAAGCATATTTAGTGATTCCTCTTAATTTAGTGATCACTGACATGATGGAATTTAATACCTCCAATTATGTAGTTAATTCATTCTTAGGGGGTGGAGTGTGTTTCTTTCAAGATAAACTCAACTTCTTTATGGTCAGAACAAGCTATTCTAAAAATATAAATGTATAACCGGTAGACTCAACTGTGTGTGTTATTGACACAATTATTCCTTCTGTGTTAATATCATCATCTATTATGTCAATCAAGTTGCTACTCCTGAATGGACTAATTTTTTTAAAAAAATAATTAATTGAAAAGTAGCCGCTATATATGCCACAGTATGAAGAGAAGCGCAAAAGCAAGAAGATTCTTAAACTATGTCTATTTTTGCTTTTCGACTCATACTTTAAAAAAGTAACCCTTCTCCCCCTTTTATTTTCAATAGTTAAAAATATTGACCTCCCCAGCCAAAGGTTTTGTATTGCAAATTTCAGTCTGGAGCAATTTTTACAGTCAAGTTATGAAGTGCTGAAGTTAGGAGGTTTTAATAGAAGGGCTGACAGACCCTAAACTACAGCAAAGCTACTGGGTGCCACTATAATAAAGTTCATGTGTAAATGTGTATAAGACATTCATTTTGAGTAATATAGGAAACACGTGCTTTAGTTAACTACTTCTGTAAAATACCAAAGTTTTATAGTTAGCAAATATTAGAATATGGTAACATTAAAAAAAGAGATATATGAGGTGATGAAGAAGATTGGTTCTTCATTTGAACACTGATGACAGGACATTTGATTCCTTTTTACTCTAAGCAATACTCTTAACTTTTTCTTTAAAAATCAGTTTTCAACCTTCAAAAAGAGTTGGAAAAAATCCTTTAGAAGGGGACAAGTGGCCTCTGAAATGCACCAACAAAAAAAGCATTTATCAGTTTCATTCCGTTTTTCTTCTCACTTTTCCTCAACACTTTCATAACCAAAACAAATGAATCCAACATTTAGACAAAGTAAAGGGTAAATCCATCTTCACTGTTGGAATCTGAAGCTCAAATGCTCATTAGATTATAAGTGAAATGAGTTTGCTAGACTCAATCTAATCAATAGCAGGCAGGGCCGGCTCCAGGCACCAGCCTTCCAAGCAGGTGCTTGGGGCGGCAATCTGCAAGGGGCGACAGTCCATGTGTTTTTGCCCCCAAGCAGTGCGCCAAATTGCCGTCCGAGAAGCTGCTGCCGAATTGCCGCCACGGCGGAAACGCGCATGCCACCCTAACGGCGCACGGACTGCCCCTGCCGTCCGCGGCGGCAATTCAGCGCACTGCTTGGGGAGGCAAAGACAGTAGAGCCGGCCCTGATAGCAGGCACTCACTTTGCAAGCACCACATCTATTAAAAACACATACAAATAAATCGGAAGGCTAAATCCATCCATTCTTTTAATCACACAGCAATTATACAATCCAGTATTACTGAAGAGCTAAACTCATTGGCAGGGATACTCAGACCGCAGCAGTTCAGGAGACAACTTAGGGATCAACATTACCCAAAAGAGGCACAGTAGTGTGAATTTATTGTTTCATTTACTATGGTACTATGTATTCATATTTAAATGGTATGACAGGAAATATTTAGTTTTTAACATTTTATTTTTTATATACATATATATATATATAAATTCTCACAGAAAAATGACGGACCAAGTATTATTATTTTTGGTTAATAATATAGCAAAAGCATTCCGATTGGTTAATAATTAAATCACGCAGTGTTTTAATATCATGTGCTGCAAAGAGCCATAGTAGACACATTAAAGAGTCACTTGCGGCTTGTGAGCCTCAGTCCGAGTATCACTGATCTATGGCTTCAATGACACAACCTAGTTATGAAGGTCAGGTTAAAGACTGAACTCAATGAAATGTAAAAATAATAGGAATATTAAAATGAATTAAAATTAGATACCTGATATCCAGGTACTGATCTAACGGATTCCACCACAGCCAGGGACACCAGGTGCTGAATAAAAGGAATTCTCTGTCCCAGCTGGGAACACAAAGGAATGGAAACATGTAATGTTGATAGAGCACATCCCACAGGACTGAGCCAGACATTTCCACCACGACCTGAAAAAAATCCGCAACACTGAATAAACAAACATGTAAGACAGAGAAATTGTGAGGGTTTTTTGTTTTGTTTTTACAAAGTTCATACTAGTTAATGTAGAAAGCAGCAGCATAAGAATTAGTTTATTCAAAAATAGCACCCTCTTGAAAAAAAATCTACAAGGAGGGCTCTAAAACTGTTCCAGCTTATTTCAAAGAAAAACTACATTCAATTTTATAGCTATTTTAAAGTATTGGTTTTGTTAATGTGTGTTCAGGTAATCATGTTTATAGAAACCTCATAAAGAAATCAAAAGTGTTGCACACAATATGTTGCCCACAATTCCTTGGTATCTTGTAGATCATATGTTTTTATGAACTATTTACGTTTGTTTTTAAATAAAAAAGTACTTGTGAAATGTTCCTGGAGATTGAAGCCTTCTGTCTATCCACAGAACAGACTCCATGCTCGTAGTTCTCAACCTATTTACCATTGAGGGCCGCATTTGTAGCATTCTGTGTGTTATATGGGTCACACGCACACAATGTACATGCTCCCTGTATGACCCTGAGGATGTCACATGAGCCACAGCTGTGTGCTGATTGGTCTGCAAGTGACCTGTGGGCCGCAGGTTGAGAACCACTGCTCCATGCCAATTCAAGGCCCAGTCCTGCTGCAATGAAGTCAATCGGAGTTTTGGTTCTGATTTGATTCAGTGCCAACTGTGGTGATGGCAGTTTGTGTGATATGGAATACTTTTCAGTAGGAATTAAAACAATGCCACCAATTCATTCTATGTAAGCCACTAAACATCCATGAGATAACTACTTTTGGTCATTTCTAAGTTGGGCTGGATTCAGATTAGTCAGAGTAAAAGGAGAAAAAACTGCTGCCCGATTTTCAACCCCCTGAGCTCTCCAAAAATATTTTTACTGTGTCTATAAATTAGAGCTGTTGATTAATCGCAGTTAACTCACATGATTAACTCAAAAAAATTAACCATGATTTAAAAAATTTATTGTGATTAATTGTAGTTTTACTCGCACTGTTAAACAATAGAATACCAATTGAAATTTATTAAATATTTTTGGATGTTTTTCTACATTTTCAAATATATTGATTTCAATTACAACACATAATACAAAGTGCACACTGCTCACTTTATATTATTTTTGATTACAAATATTTGCACTGTAAAAATGATAAACAATAGAAACAGTATTTTTCAGTTCACCTCAAAGTACTGTAGTGCAATCTCTTTATCATGAAAGTGCAACTTACAAATGTAGATTTTTTGTTGTTACATAACTGCACACACACACACACACACACACACAAAAAAAAAGACAGTTACCTGTTCCGTAACTGGTGTTCTTCAAGATGTGTTGCTCATGTCCATTCCATATTAGGTATGTGTGCTCGCCACATGCACCGGTGTCGGAAGTTTTTCCCTCAGCAGGATCCATAGGTGCCCTCTGGAGTGGCGCCTGCATGGCGCGGTATAAGGGGTGGCGCTGGTTCCCCCCACCTTCAGTTCCTTTTTGCTGTAAACTACAACAGTGGGGAAGGAGGGCGGGTCGTGGAATGGACATGAGCAACACATCTCGAAGAACATCAGTTACGGAACAGGAAACTGTCTTTTCTTCTTCGAGTGCTTGCTCATGTCCATTCCATACTAGGTGACTCCCAAGCAGCACCATCGGAGGTGGGTAGGAGTTCACGGACATGTAGATTGCAACACAGTGCTGCTGAACCCAGCATCATCTCTGGTCTGCTGAGTGATGGCATAATGCGCCGTGAACGTGTGAACAGAGGACCACATTGCGGCTCTACAGATGTCCTGGATAGGGACGTGCGCCAGAAAGACCGCTAAGGACATCTGAGCTCTAGTTGAGTGGGCTCTGACAATCGGTGGTGGTAGAACCCCCACCAGGTTGTAACAGTGATCCAATTGGAAATTCTTTGCGAGGACACCGAAAAGCCCTTCATCCAATCCGCTGTAGTGATGAAGAGCTGAGTTGATTTACGGAAAGGCTTGGTACATTCCAGGTAAAAGCCAAGGCTCTCCGGACATCCAGTACATGAAGACTGGGGGGTAGGGATAGCTCAGTGGTTTGAGCATTGGCCTGCTAAACCCAGGGTTGTGAGTTCAATCCTTGAGGGGGCCACCTAGGGATCTGGGGCAAAATCAGTACTTGGTCCTGCTAGTGAAGGCAGGGGGCTGGATTCGATGACCTTTCAAGGTCCCTTCCAGTTCTAGGAGATAGGATATCTCCATTAATTTAAAAAAAAAAAAAGACGCCTCTCCTCACTGGTTTTGTGTGGTTTGGGACAGAACACCAGAAGAAAGATGTCCTGGTTCAGATGGAAGGTGGACACCACCTTCGGCAGGAAGGCCAGGTGGGGGCCGCAGCTGAACCTTGTCTTTGTAGAAGACCGTGTCCGGCGGTTCTGAGGTCACGGCTTTAATCTCAGAGACTCGTCTCGCTGATGTCACCGCCACCGGGAAAGCAACCTTCCATGACAGGTGGGAAGGGGGCAGCAGTCCAGCAGCTCAAAGGGTGGGCCCGTGAGCCTAGAAAGGACCAAGTTAAGATCCCACTGCGGGACAGGGGCCCGTACCTGCAGGAAGAGTCTATCGAGACCTCTCAAGAATCTGACCGTCATGTCATGAGAAAACACTGTCTGGCCCTGGATCAGCAGGTGAAAAGCAGAGATGGCCACGAGATGCACTCTAATAGAAGAGTGTGCCAGGCCTTGGTTCCTCAAATGAAGCAGGTAGTCTAAGGACAGACTGTATGGAAGAATGTGAGGGAGAGACGCCACGCTCGGACGCCCAGTGGGAAATTGTCCACTTGGCCAGGTAAATCAGTCTGGTTGAGGGCTTCCTACTTCCCAGGAGGACCTGTTGGACCTCCTCCGAACAGATCTGCTCGTCCGGGTTCAGCCACGCAGCATCCACCCCGAGAGGTGGAGGGACGCGAGGTTGGGGTATAAGAGCCGACCGTGGTCCTGTGACAGCAGGTCTGGTCGGTTGGGCAGGGAACAGGGAGGGGCTGCTGTCAGGTTCATGAGCACGCCGAACCAGTGCTGGCAAGGCCACGCATGGGTGATCATGATAACTTGCGCCCTGTCTCTCTTGATCTTTGCCAGGATCTTGCTGATGAGTGGAATCGGAGGGAACGTGTACATCAGGCTCCCCGACCATGACAGGAGGAAGGCATCGGAAAGGGAGTCCTTGCCCAGACCAAAATCGATGACATTTTCTGTTTTGCCTGGTGGCAAAGAGGTCCATCTGGGGAGTTCCCCACCTCTGGAAAATCACGTAGGCTACCTCCTGGTGGAGTGACCACTCATGGTGAGAGGAGACAGCCCTGCTGAGGTGATCCGCTAGTGTGTTCTTGATGCCAGGGAGATGACAAGCCTCCAGGTGGATCTCGTGGTTGATGCAGAAGTTCCAGAGACGGAGCACCTCCTGACAGAAAGCCGACGAGCGCGCTCCTCCTTGTCTGTTGATGTAGAACTTTGAGGCTGTGTTGTCTGTCAGAACTCTCACTACCTTGCCCAACAGGTGAGGTAGGAAGACCCCACATACCAAGCGGACTGTTCTGAGTTCTTTGACATTTATGTGTAGCGTCATCTTCTCCGGGGACCACATACCCTGGGTCTGGAGATCTCTGAGGTGCGCACCGCAGCCAAGGTCCGAGGCGTCCAACACCAACTAGAAGGAGTCGGGGGGTTGTCGAACGGAACTCTCTCTAGGACCTTCTTACGATCGGTCCATCAACGCAGCGAGGTGAGTATTACCGGGGAGGGTGGTAACAATCTTTTCCAGGTGATCCCTGGACTGGGAAAAGACCACAGTCAGCCATTGCTGCAGGGGCCGCATCCGGAGCCTGGCATGGCGGACAACGTATGTGCAAGCTGCCATGTGGCCCAGCAGACACAGGCAAACCCTGGCCACAGTCAGGGGGAATGCAGAGACTCCGCGATGAGGTCCGCCAATGTCTGGATCCTTTGAAGTGGCAGGAACGCTCTGGCACAGGTCGAGTCGAGCTCCGCTCTGATGAACTCTATCTTTTGCACTGGAACTATCGTCGACTTTTTGTCGTTCACCAGTAGGCCCAGGGAGCGTCGTGGCTTGCAGCACCACAACATCCTTTTGGACCTGAGACCTGGAGCTGCCTTTGACCAGCCATTCGTCGAGGTACGGGTAGATCTGGATATCCCGGCACCTGAGATAAGCTGCCACCACCGACATGCACTTGGTGAACACCCTCGGTGCTGTTGCTAGGCCAGACGGGAGGACAGTAAATTGGTAGTGGCCGGGTCCCCCCATAAATTGGAGGAAGCGTCTGTGTCCTTGAAAGATCGCTATGTGGAAGTATGTGCCCTTTAAGTCAAGAGCGGCATACCAGTCTCCCAGATCCAGGGACGGGAGGATAGAGGCCAGGGAGACCATTCAGAACTTCAGCTTCTTTAGGTATTTGTTGAGGTCTCGCATGTCCAGAACAGGCTGTAGACCGCCCTTGACCTTTGGGATTACAAAGTACCAGGAATAGAACCCCTTGTTCCTGTATTCGAGAGGAACCTCCTCCACCGCACCCAGCTGCAGTAACCCTTGGACCTCCTGCGTGAGGAGACTCTCGTGAGACGGGTCCCTGAAGAGGGACGGGGAAGGAGCCTGGGTGGGGGGTAGAAATAAACTGGGGGGTATAACCCTGTGTTCAGGACCCAGCGGTCCGAGGTTACAGCGGTCCACGCAAGGAGGAAAAAGAAAAGGCGGTTGGAAAAAACTGAAGAAGATGGATCCAGGGAATATAGTCTGGTAGGTTGCCCTCAGGCACATCCTCAAAATGTGCTTGGCCCCCTGATTGTTTAGGGTGGAGCCCGACTGAGCAGAGGGTGGAGGAGGGTGGCTCAGTTGGCGTTTGTAGCCCTTGGCCTTCTTGTGAGGCAGGTCCTACCGAGGCTGGCTCCCTTGTCCCTGAGGCTGTTGCGGTTTGAACCGCTTACGTGCCAGGCCTGGGACATAAAGTCCCAGAGTTTTCAGGCTGTCTGCTCTGCAACAGGGCCTGGCCATCGAAGGGAAGGTCCTGCATCGACTGCTGAGCCTGTGCAAAAGCCCGACAGGAGCAGCCAGGAAGCTCGCCGCATGGAGATGGCGGAGGCCATGGTGCGGGTGGCAGAATCCGCTGCGTCTGAAGCTGCCTGGAGGGCCGCTCTGGCCACAGCCGTGCTCTCCTCGAGGATCACCCAGAATTCCTTCCTGGACCCTTCGGGAAGTGAAGCCTCGAAGTTGGCCATGGCCTGCCACATGCTGTAATCATAGCAGCCAAGGAGGGCCTGGTGATTGGCCACTCCCAACTGCAGGCTGGAAGACAAATAAACTTTGTGTGCTAAGAGATCCAGCCTCCTTGAGTCTTTGTTTTTGGGGGTAGCCCCGGGTTGACCCTGCCTCTCCCTGTGGTTAATTGCCTCTACCATCAGGGAATTGGAGGCCAGGTGGGAATATAAGTACTCATGCCTCTTGGTTGGCACAAAGTACATGCGCTTGGCCCTTTTAGAGATGAGGGGCAAGGAGGAGGGAGTCTGCTACAGGACAGTGGTAATCTTCGATACCCCTTCATGAAGGGGTAAAGCCACCCTGGCAGGTGCTGAGGAGCAGAGGACATCAAATACGAAGACCAAAGGCTCCTCCAATTCCTCGGCCTGAAGCCCCAGGGTAGAAGCAACCCTCTTCAATAGTTCCTGGTGCGCCTTAGCGTCATCCTGAGGAACTGGGTAAGGGGGCTCTATGATAGCCTCATCCGGCGACAACAAGGACGATGCCGGTACCAGGACCCTCGACGTCCATTGGTGGGCCACCAGGCTGCTCCCCTGGGTCCTCCTGGACCTGTGGGGTCCTTCCCCCATAAGTCTCAGGCACTGGAGGGGGTTGGGATGTCGAGGCTGCTGACCTGTCCGAGGCTCCTGACACCGATGGGGCAGCCTGGGAAGGTTGGGTGAACCCCCAAGGGTTCCATGGGTACCATGGCACCGGACACTGCACTTGGGGCCCTGGGACAGGTTTTGGTGCTGATGATGTAGGCGACAGCGCAAGTATCGTAGGATGCCCTGGAGTTACGGAACCCTGCTCCATGCTGGAGCTATCGCTGGAACGGTCGCTACCTGGCGACCAGGATTGGGTGGAGCGGCAGCTCTTATCTGACCAGTGCTGGTCACTGCGCCTTAAGGTAGATCTGTCCAAGCGAGATGAAGGTCTTGGTCTGGGCCTTGTGGACTGACGGTGTTCGGTGGATCAGTGTCAGAAACCCGGCAATCTACGCTTTATGCTACTTGACTGGTACCGGATGTCAAGCGGGACCAGGAGCTATCACGCACTGGTTGCTGGGAGGATCTTCCCGAATAGGGCGACCACCATCTGGACGACTGATGACAATGGGCTGGTGATCGGTGGCTTTAGTCCCCCAATTGGTCCTGAGATCTGTAACAAGCTCTTGGCGATGTGAGGGGTCAGTCTCCTGCCAGGGAGCGCATGCCTCGGTGGATCTGTGCCAGGCTACTGGTGAGGTACGCCTCGAATCCTGCTGTTGGTTCCCAAGGTCTGTGGACTGAAGAGGGCTCTGCTGAGCCTGCCTCTCTAGCTCTGAGGCATGATGGCTTCGGGCGGGGGAGCGGTGGCAGGACATCCCATGTGATGGGAAACAGTGCCGCTGATGTGGGGACGTATGTGGAGGCCCCAAGGCGGGTTTACCCCGAGACCGGGGTACTGCCGGAGCCAGTGTGGGCAGTACCGGAAGCACCAGGATCTCCTGAGCTGCCTGCAGGGCTTCAGGTGCCGATGGCACCTGAAGCTGACGGAGGCCTGTACTGCTATCCAGAGTCGCAGGCAAGGTATGGGATGGCCTGCAATGCTCGACTTGAGCTGGGTCCCGACTTCTCTAAGGGGGCATTGAGCTGTCTGGCGTGGGTCTTGGCTTGCCCCCAGCCCTTTCCTTTCCCTTTCAGGCGATTGTCCTGCTCCCTTTTCGTCCTGGGTTTGAAGGACTTACAAAGATGACACTTGTCGCTTATGTGCCCTTCGCCCAAGCACCTTAGGCAACTATCATGTGGATCGCTGATGGGCATAGGCCGTTTGCAATGATCGCAGGGCTTAAAGCCTGGCGCCCTCTAGAGTGGTGGCTGCATGCCCCGTCCCCAGGCTGAGTCCCATTCGGGACTAACAAAGACTTTAAAAACTACTACTGCGGGTAACTAATTCAACTACAAACTATATACAACTATATTACAGGTTTATAAAGTTCACAAAAATGGAGAACAAAACAATTCTAGCTGAAACAGCAGATATTCCAGCACTGTCACTGGCGGCAAGAAGGAACTGAGGGTGCGGGGAGCTGGTGGCGCTCCTTATACCACGCCATGCAGCCACCACTCTAGAGGGCGCCAGAGCCAGTCCCCTAGAGATACTGCTGAGGGAAAAACTTCTGGCACTGCTGCATGTGGCGAGCACACACACCTAATATGGAATGGACATGAGCAAGCACTCGAAAAACAAAACAATGCAAAACTTTAGAGCCTACAAGTCCACTCAGTCCTACTTCTTGTTCAGCCAATCGCTAAGACAAACAAGTTTGTTGACATTTATGGGAGATAATGCTGCCCAGTTCTTATTTACAATGTCACCTGAAAGTGAGAACAGGCATTCGCATGGGACTTTTGTAGCTGGCATTGCAAGGTATGTGCATGCCAAATATGCTAAATATTTGTATGCTCCTTCATACTTCGGCCACCATTCCAGAGGACATGCTTCCATGCTGATGATGCTTGTTAAAAAAATAATGCATTAATTAAATTTGTGACTGAACTTCTTGGGGGAGAATTGTATGTCTCCGGCTCTGTTTTAGCTGTTTCGGCCATATATTTCATGTTATAGTAGTCTCGGATGATGACTCAGCACTTGTAGTTCCTTTTAAGAACACTTTTGCTGCAGATTTGACAAAACGCAAAGAAGGTACCAATGTGAGATTTCTAAAGATAGCTACAGCACTCAACCCAAGGTTTAAGAATCTGAAGTGCCTTCCAAAATTTGAGAGGAACGAGGTGTGGCACATGCTTTCAGAAGTCTTAAAAAAGCAATACTCCGATGCGGAAACTACAGAACCCGAACCTCCAAAAAAGAAATCAACCTTCTGCTGGTGGCATCTGACTCAGAGGATGAAAATGAACATGCGTCGGTCCGCACTGCTTTGGATTGTTATTGGGCAGAACCCGTCATCAGCATGGACGCCTGTCCTCTGGAATGGTGGTTGAAGCATGAAGGGACATATGAATCTTTAGCGCATCTAGCATGTAAATATCTTGCGACCTAGGCTAGAACAGAGCCATGTGAACGCCTGTTCTCACTTTCAGGTGACATTGTGAACGAGAAGCAGAAAGCATTATCTCTTGCAAATGTAAACAAACTTGTCTGTCTGAGCAATTGGTTGAATAAGAAGTAGGACTGAGTGGACTTGTAGGCTCTAAAGTTTTACATTATTTTATTTTTGAATGCAGTTTTTTTTGTACATAAGTCTACATTTGTAAGTTTAACTTTCATGATAAAGAGATTGCACTACAGTACTTGTATTGGGTGAATTGAAAAATACTATTTTATTATTTACAGTGCAAATATTTTTAATCTGAAATAAATATAAGGTGAGCACTGTACACGTTGTATTCTGTGATGTAATTGAAATCAATATATTTGAAAATGTAGAAAGCATCCAAAAATATTTAAATAAATGGTATTCTATTATTATTATTTAACAGTGTGATTAATTATGATTAATTTTTTAAAGCACTTGACAGCCCTACTATAAATGATCTATATTAACTACATTACTGAATAAATGCAATAAACTATCTTCTTTCTGTTAGTGTTGCAAGAAAACCTACTTACCTTTCCCTTGTGTTTGTCGAACTGCAATCGCTATTAAATCCATTTCCTGAGGCAAATTGAACATCAACCTGCCAATTAAGGAAAAAGGTTGTCAGCTAGAACAGTCAGCTTTTTTCATGAAAATCTACCATCAACATTTAAATAGAGGCTAATATTTTACATCAAATTAAAAGCATCATTTATTCATTTTCAGTTATAATTTATGATTAGGTGAAAAGGGCAATGGAAAATCCAAAAAGAGAAGCTAACTGAAAAATGACCAAGTGAAATAATACTGCATCTGTAATTCTGGAAAAAAGATATGACCATAGTTCATTTAAGGTGCTTTTTAAAACACAGATGGCTGTATTTCTTTAGTATTTCTCCGAGAAGTACTTATTTCTTCTAACTTGTGTCACTATCTCCCATAGTAGCGATTCCAGACATTTGTTTCTACTTACAGCAAATTTTTGTTCATACTCTACAATATAACAGCAGCAGTTTCTGATTATTTAGAAAACCAATATGGTGGCAATAAAGCAGTTTAAAAGATACACTATCCCCTGAGAACTAATTATGATTTAACTACAGTAAATAAATCTACACCTTCTGAGAACTCTAGAGAACACTGGTTTGGTTTAGGCTTGCACTCTGCTGTTAAAATAGTTTCACTTAAAAGAATACTAACTTTCCTCTGGGAATCCGTAGAAAGTACACTTGAATGCCACCAAATGAGTCAACATTAACTTTAAAAAAATCTTACTATGGGAACTGTTTTAAACATATTTCAACTGTATTATGATCCTTCTTCATTTCATTTTAAGTTTTGGGGAAAAGAAATTATTTAACAGACAAAAAAGATCCACATGATGTTACCATTGTTTGGCTATACAAGATAAATCTAGTAAATAATTTATAGTCTGAAAAAGCTCACTTTTAATGCAAATAAAGAGTAGTTCATTTAAATTAAAGGTGGTTTTGCCTTAGGCAATATGTGCCACACTAATCAGAAAAGAGTAAGTGGCATTCAGAATTATTTCTTCTGAATTTAGGAAGAAGATTCAAGGACTTCCAAGTCCTCCTGTAACCAAGATAGTGACACTGTATAGTAGGAACTAATAAGTACAAGTGCACCCTCTGCTGCTTACTGGGAATAAATGTTATGGCAGACAGCTACTGAAGGAGCTATTCGTCTGCTTCCCCTCCTCCCCCGCTTTTTAATTTGAAATGTGGTATTTTATTAATGGCTGTGGCTAGATAAGGGAGAGGAAGTAGAGCAAAAATACAGAAAAGTAACCACTTCCTGAAATCTCAGAACATCTCTGCATAATGATTCAATTGCTCACATGACTATGAAAGGAGTAGGTTATTCTAAGGGCCAAAGAGAGGTTTGGACTATAAAACACCTTTACTAATTAGAAATACTTGAACTACAGCTGACTGGAGATTTAACAGGTCCAACAGATGTTTTTTTTCACATTATTGCAGAAATCAATGTGAAACATTTTCAAAGAACACTAGCCAGAAGATCTCTTTGCCAGTCCCACTTCCATTTCACATGAAATACAGCTTGAGAATTGTTTCTCTTGGACACTACGAATTGCTTATTGAGACTATGATTGCCTATCTACAGTCAATCTTTAATATTGAAATATACCTTTCCTAGTGTTGGGAACCAGTAGCAAAATCCAGAGAGGTTCTTTGTACTCATTAACATCACTTCAGCTACAATACTGAATTCATGGTACTCCAACAAGGACATTAATTTAAATTTGGAAATGGGGCTAAGGACAGATTACAAATTTTGTCGAAACAAACTTGTTTATCACTTCTCTGTTCATATGATCTAGGTTCTTTAAATATCAGGCAAACAATAGATAGTCATGTTACAGCTCTGGGGGTAAAAAAATCAGGGCAGGAAAAAAGTTAGTTCTGAAACCAAACACAGACCTCTAAAACAAAGAGATATGATTAAGGGAACATATGCATGGAACGGTTAGAGGTTTGGCAACAGTTAACAAGACTGAGTTTGAGAACAGTGAGATTGTACTGTTTAGGCCAAGAGGAAATTCTGTAAGGAGGTACACAACATGGGGAAGTCGCTAATACCTAGGCTGAGACAACTGGAGGCAGACGGATTTATTTCTGCTATCTGAGATAGCCCTGGAGGCATTGCCACACAGCTCAAAGGCAATAATAAAGTGCTTCTGAACTTAATAAATTGTGTTGGTTTTTTGGGGTGCGCGGGGTTGTTTCATTTCTGGAAAAGAAAAGTTGTTTGAATTTTCTTTACTAGAAAGAAGCAATTGTAGATGGATTTACATTCTTAGCTATTGACGTTCCCACTGAAGAAATAAATGATTATATTTGGGACCGATTAGACTGGAGGATGAAAAGGGGGTTCATCAATGGCATAATGTAATATGATGAAGTTATCTCATACTTTCATTTCCTCTTTTATTTCACTTTCCCCTTCATTTCAATGTTTTCATAAAGTTCTGTGTTTCTCATTGTTGCACAATGAATTAAGACAGAAGACCTCACTGATGAATCTAGAAGATTGATCCATTCAAACTAAATTTACTCAACAGGTAGGGATAAAGAAAAGCATTTATCTGATTCTGGAAAAAAATGCTTTAATTTAATTTCAAATTTTCTTCACCACCACAAATTTTTTGCGGTACCTGACAAACTGTGAACTGTGCACTTCTGGTGTTTAAAGCAACTGAAATATTAAATGGTAAAATACTAGCACATTAATAATTTTTCACAACATAATTTACAGTCTATGTTGTCAAGAGTAGTAAACAATACTTAAATGGCTCACAGAAATATCAGGGCCAAAGAACCATCAGTCCCCACAGCTAGCCAATGCAATGGCTTTTGTGTATATAGCAACATAAAATGGGAATTGAAACCACAAAAACTATGTTTGAAAAATGTTAACAGCCTGACAACTATACATTTCATTGATGTTGTGGGTTTAAAGCTGAAAGTCTCATTAATGCACCCTGCTGTGTTACAGTATTGCAGAGGTATTACAAAAGGCAACATTACATTCCAGATGTTGAAATACCTGGGCATAGGTTAGAGACAGACTTCTACCCTTAACTCTGAATGTCTTTGTTCTGAGTGGGGAGAGGGAGGGATTTAAAAAAACCAAATCACAACCTTCAAGTTGCTTGATTATAGTTACTATGATTTCATTTACAGAGAATGCCATAATATTGGAAACAGTATTAGAACAAAGAGATAATATTTTTTAGTCAAACTGAAAAAAAGGACATGCCACTTGATCCAAGTCTCCTATGATATTTCAGACAAAGAGGTGACCTGCAAACTCTCTGTTCCATTTTTATTACTTAACCGTAGCCATAGTCCATTATATCCTTTCTGGAAATTAGCAGTGTATGTATTGATATATTTACATATTTCATTATAGTGCCTGATACCCGATGTGTAATCCATCTCCTTAATTTAGGTAATGGGAGTTTGAGCTGGATACTTTTCTAAAGAATAAACTGTAATGAAACAAAGCCTTCCCTGTCGATAGAGTTTAAAATATTTTCAATAGCTACAAAGGTCCATAGGACCGTATAAAAGAAGATAAGTCAATCAACGATCCTAATGCACTGTGACAGAAATGCTCAGACGTTACTACATAGTGCCATTTATGGTTTTATAATTCAGGCTTTCCCCAGGAGCATCTTGGAAGACAAGTTGTCAGATCTTAAAATGCATTACTGAAAAGACTGTTACTTCTAAATGACAGTTCTATTGACATTTCCATTCCAATTCTTAGTTCTTACAATTGTAGAAATACCCTCCATAGTAGAATTCCGCATAACATCATTTTGTTGCACGCTAACAATAAGTCCTATAACAAATTTTAGAGGAGGGATGGTTTTGCCCCTTTCAAACAATAAAATAGTAAATTATTCACCAGGTAAGTAAGTTGTTTGAGCAACTTAATTTAATTAAGTTAAAAAAAACTTCATCTCTCTTCCCCCAATAAATCCACACTAAAGCTAGCTATGGGTCTAGTTTAAAGCTCACAAAAGTCATGAAATGCAGACTCAAGGCTAACGTGTGTCAAATCGTTCAGTCTCTTTGCTACAAATCCACTCCGTTTTCTCCTATGTACTGTGTGCCATTCACAACATGCTAAAGAATTCTTTATCCCACTCCCAAGTTGTTACATATTGTAGGTTTTCTATTTGTTTTTCTAACTAAATTCAAAATATACTAATAAAATTATGAGTTTATCTATGGGAACACAAAAGCATCTTTGTGAGCAGAACAGTTTTCAAGTTAACAACTCCTTCCACTGGAAAAGGGTCATCTTTAACAATATATTCCACTACATTTTCTAAATGTACCATTACCCTTTATTTTCATAGTGTAATTACACAGAAAAGGCCTCTAATCCCAGCTACTTTTCGAGACCCATCTATTTCTACACAGTGCAGACTACCTGAAATTGTTGATTCTTTAGTGCAGTGCTTGCAACACAATCAGAGACATTCTACCCAACCAGTCATTACTACGTGTTGGAGCTCATCAATATGCCAAAATTTCTCTTTTATAGCAGAAATCCAAGCAGCTTCCACATAAAACAGCCTTTTCCCATATTAGTACTAGTACACAAAGTGATCATTTAAACCAATAGTCTCTTTTACGTCTCCAGATATTCGTTTCCTGCATCCTCTTAAAAAAAAAAAGTGATGAAGGTGTTCCAGACTTCTGTAGATTTACAAAAAGCCTTGTAATTTTACACTGCTAGTTTTTCCTACCTTGCTATAAACACTTATTGTACAAAGAAGAATCTACCATATTAAGGTCATCATATTTTTTCTGACCTCTGTCTGCTGTGAATGAAATTGGGCTAACAAGGTTGTTTTACAGCAGTAGTTTTCAACCCTTTTTCATTTGTGGACCCCTAAAAAAAATCTCAAATGGAGGTGTAGACCCCTTTAGAAATCTTTACACAGTCTGTAGACCCCTGGTGTCCAGGGACCACAGGTTGAAAACCAAGTGTCTTACAGTTACGCACTTTGGACAGTTGTCGGAGGAAAAAAAATTGTGCTAG